AAAAGTTTATGAGCGAGTTGGAGCCTCATGGACCGATGATTCTGCGCAGGAGAAAAATCATAAACGAGGTGGTTGGGGACTGTGCTGATTGTGAGAGGCTCGATGAAACACGTCCGTGAATGCCGGTAATAGACTTCTATTGGGCTGTGAAAATATGCTTCCACTGAAATTGATTTTACTTGATTTTACTGGTGAAATTCCCACACCTTCGCTCCTATTGCATTCTTCAAAGGAGAAAAAATCAAAATCATTCCTTGGTGTTTTTACAAAATTTACTTTGCATTGGAGGGAAGTTACAAATCATCGCACTAAAACAACTAATCGAAGTTCTTGTATGAAAACCGCCGCTCATGCATCCTTACTTCGCGTAGTAAAATTAGCGACCCGGTCGGCATTGTTGTCTCCCGCATGGCCGCTCTCCCACTCTCTTTTGTCTGTAAACTTCTAACGTCGGGAAGAATAGAAAGAATGCGGTATTGTGTGTTCAAAGTTTTAATCAGTATACGTGAGGAACGACCTCAGATTACAGTGGCGTGGTGTGCTTCGCGATACATCGATTGATCAGCCATTTAATCCTAAGGAAAAGGATCGATAAACAGGGTGTTCGCAACGAGCACCTTAATAATCGATTCTTTACAACCTTTTGAAATGGGGAAATATCGAGAATCGATTATCCACGCCATTGCCACCGGTATATTATGCTCCCTGAAAGAGCGTCTAATTAAGCATTTACCCCGAGGGATTCTAGCTTTGAGATACCCTCCGAAAATTCTCGGAAAAATATATATCTAATTATTCTATACCTCATTTACATCATTTCATTCTATTTTTTCTTTCTCTCTCCTCCCCTGCGACAATCTCAGGCCCACCTTGCGTCGCGACGAGGGCACGTATTTCATCTCTGCACAGTGGTACAAAATGATAAATATTTCAGAGGCATCCTCTAAGACTTATACCGCCTTAAATAGGGCGAGCAGCTCCGCTCCTTATTTCAAAAACATTCATTCCAGCCATGTTCTAAATGTAAGAAAGCCTCTGGACTTTAGATATAATCATTCGTGCATGCAAACTCTAAAGCCGCGGAATAAATATTTCGATTGGTGAAGTGCGCGAAACCACTTATCTTCGTTTGCAATGTTGCAGACTTCTCGTCAGACTTCGTTCATTCTTTGGAAAACTAATCAACGTAATTCTTGCAAACTTTCTTGATTTTTCCTATCTGTCAGCAGAATATTCTGTATAGATTTCAAGCTATAAATTTGGCTAGTTTTTAATCGAAAAAATAAAGTAAAAACGGAAATTATGAGAAACTGCAGTTGAGAAACGTGGTTTCTCACTTTGGACATCGATTAGAGAGCGATTTTATGAAAGCGATTTGGAAGCATTCTGACTATCTGACTTCTGATTAATGTTGCAGTATTTAAATTGTTTCAAGACTTTAAAGCATTGGAATTTACAGCCCCATCTACGTCAGACCTTACAGGTTCTAGGATATGTTCTTATGTTCTTCTTAATCCCTAAAATCAGGGCCCCTGCATATGGGTATAGGGTTGTACTTGCAAGTTTGAGAGGGTTCCCACGTTTTTTTCGGCAATACCGAGATGTACGGATATTAGTTTTACACTTTGGAGAATTGTATTTCTTTTGCGAAGACCTCCGGTCCATTTTTGGTAATGGTAGGTATGCCGTCGAAAAAATCCGGGAGGCATTTTTAGGGGTCCTCTGGTTCCCACTCGCACAGTTTTAAAGTTTGCTATCGCATCTTCACTTTCAGAATAGAGGCCGTCGAAAACTTTAAAAATAACTAAAATCCAAGAAGATCAGAATACATGGTTTTATCGACGTCTATTAACGGATTGCGTGTGTACAAAGTTTTCGTGAAAGTGAAAAAATTATTGTACAAAGAACCTTTTTTTTTTATTTGATCAGTTGACCTCTGAACTTTTTAGTCAATACACGTACCAATATCCAAAAAAATTTACAACAACAACTCAGTCTGAGGGAAAAAATCTGGTCCAAAAATATATGCAAAAATGAGACGTTTCGAAGAATCATAACTTTATCATCAACGGGCAAAAAGTCGGAGGAAAAGGGGGAATAACAAGGAAAAATGAGTCAGCAAGCGATGATATTGCGATGGTATTGCTAAACCGGAGCAGACGACCAATATCACTCTGTGTGAGGCACGTGGTTTAGAAATAGCTCATTACCGTACCCACACTTGCTCCTAGAACATCTCCTGGCTCCGGACTTACTTAAAAGTTTCGGATTTTTCACTTTCGATTCCATTGCGCGGTGGAACGTGCCTTGAATGCAGCTCGAAAAAAAGGAGAAAAAATCACTGCAGGTGCCTCATCCTGAGGCTTCCCCGCCGGTCGCGGGCTCATACACGTCCACCCGATTGGACGTATTCCTATCAAACGGAACTATGTGCATTATGAAGTGAGCCCTGTTATGCACGTATTCTTATGGGTCTCAGGGCTCATGTCTTAATGCACATAGTTCTGTTTGATAGAAATACGTTCAATTGTTCGGGCGACGGGAGAGGACATGGATGGTTTCGGCGCCGCGCGGGTTCGGTAAATAACGGCAAGTTCATAGAGGCTCATTTGTTCGTCTAATGAGTATGAGGAGATTTCGGCCAGAGCTGATGTAAGATGGACGCTCTTCTCGCTTCTCGCCCCATCCTCACAAAATGCAATCTTCGCAGTAACACGTGTCAACTATCACCTCAAAACGGTGAAGCGAGTGAAAACTTAAAGTGCAATACGTATCGTGGTCCAAATTAAAATTAGGATATGCTAAGCAAAAATGACTAAATACATTTTTCAGAGAGTTCAGAGACCTGCATAATCTTTAATTGGACTACGTTTTGCAATTCTGAACTACAATGATTGACTCATCTGTGAAAACACTTGTGGACATAGGGAAACTAATGGCACATGCGTTGTTCCTCCTAAATTGAGTAAAAAATCGTAGTTCTTGATTGCTAAATGTAGTAATATAATTTCCTGTTTGGAATGTGATTTTTAATAGTCAAATGGAACGAATTTAGAGGTATGGGCGACAAAAAATAGCATACGTGCCACAATTCGGCCACCTCATCTGCCGCTTGGCCGAGGAAAGGGCGTAACTACACTTGGTGATAAGTCCGGAAAGCATTGAATTATGTTGACGACAGTCGCAATTTTACAAACCGGCAACACTGTTCTGACTCCATTTAAATCCATTAAAAATATCGATTTTGGGGAGGAAAAGCTGCTTCACCAATAATCGCGATTGTTTTACATACATTTAAAGGGAGGAAAAACAGTGTTGCCAACTTGCAAGAATCGGCACTGATGGACGACAGGGTTCTCCGCAAAGTGAAGTCCTCATGCTAGGAGGACGACGCGACGTAGTGATGTACCCTGGTAAGGTTTGGGGCCGTTCGTCAGGAAAATAACTTAAGAAGTACAAACTGCTAGATGAATCTGCTGATAAAATCTGATGATTTATTTTACTCAAAAATACATTTTGAGGTATGTGAGCAGAAACTACGACGCTATAGACAAGAAAATGATTGCAATCGGGTAAAAGAACTCGATTGGAACAACCGTTCGACTACCTGCTAATGACTGACATTCGCCGCAGCAGGTAATTACTATCGGTGGAAGCTGCGGAAGTGAGAGTGATTTCTAGCCGAAGGAGTTATATCTTGCAGTATCATCTTCACAAGTCGGTTGTCAGATCCTGTGCATTGCCGCTCTGTCTCTTTGCAAGCACGACCATTATTGCAATTACCGTTGAGAACAATAAAGACCGAGCCAGTAACCTTTAGAAATAAAGTCAAAAGAAGGTGCACGAGGATGACGAAGCACTTTTTAAAGCACATTTTTACAGCGAAACATACATTTTCTCATAAACAGTGGGTTTCTATTGTTTTACTGTTTAGGCTTGGAGCCAGAGTTCGAAACTCACCTCTGAGTTTAAGGAGGCATGTGGCGCATCAAGCCCGATTTTTAGGGGCCATTGAAGATTTTTTATGGGTCAAATTGACTTTTTGCCCATATATTACGGCGCACTTAGTGAAAAGTTAGACGCAAGATGTTTTCGTAACAGAACTAGTGAGTAGCTGTAACTTGGGAAGACAAAAGCACTTAGAATGAAATCGTGAAGAATAGAAAAAGCTTTCACTTGTAGTGCTGAAAATCTTGAGTTTTTTTAATTCAAATAGATTTGTTTTTCTCTCTTTATGCGACTTCCTATGAAAGTCCAGATTTTAAGGGGGCATTTTTTAGGGGCCACGTTGGCGCAGATCCTTCATTTTTTAGGCGCCATGACCGATTTTCTAGGCGCATTTGGCGCGTTGGCGCCTGTGAGTTTCGAACACTGCTTGGAGCCTTATAGAATCGTTTAATTTTCATAAGTTCTTCAGGTATCGATGGCTTAAGTGCGAAATTACGGATCTCTGTTGCGGTGTTTCAAAATTTTCGCTTCAATTTAACTTTTTCCAAGAAAGCAAGCCAACTTTTTAGTTTGCAATTATATCAAAAGAAGTTCAAGAATATATGTTGAGTAGGCTTTCGATTAAAAAATAAACTGATTGGTAGTCTGCAATGTCAGATCTTTAAGCGAATAATATAGTCTCCTGATTATAAGTTTATAGCCTTAGTATTAATGAATTTTTAAACAATTTTTCCCAATTAATAGTCTCCAAATCATGCTAGCTTGCTGAAATATTTATGAGTTACATTTTTTAATGACATAGCAATTGCGGAAATTGTAAATTTCTGCTATGAAACTACACGTTTTTTTTCTTTATTTTGGTTTTTCCCTATTAATTTATGTCTTAACGAAGTGGAAACCATTGAGGTACAAAACACACACCCACGTTTAAATCATGTGGGCCATCATGAAATATTCTGCTAAAAAATTCACAAGCAGATCAATATTATATTATTTCTTCGTGCATTTCAGTTTTTTCAATGGTCGTACATGACGGAATCTTATTGTTGCAGGAGATGCGTTGATGGTGGAAGGTGACGTCATTCTCGGCCGTCACTCTGGAGACCTGAACATGTCACCGATGCCCATGATGGGCCACCCGCCAACCACGGAATCCGATCTCTCTTTGAAAGACTTTCTCGAGATAGTGAGCACTGCTAAAACTCCCCGAGGAATAAAACTCGACTTCAAATCTCTTGAGGTCTTCAACGCATCCATACCAGTATTGGAAGAATACATCTACAAAGTCACGCACTCGATCGAGGTTTGTAATTTACAAGCTTGTATTTCAAGCTTGTATTTAATTATCAAGAAAACTGAACAGTTATCATGCATTTAATCAACACTGAAAAAAAAAAGAATCACAATCTCAACTATACTCCTGGCTGGTTTTGGCGCTAGTTATAAAAGTAGTTACACCATACAGAGGTATGGTTGATCCAAACACACTTTTGGCTGACTCAACCTACACCTCTGGTTGGTGCAACTACTCTTATAACTGGTGCCAAAATCAGTCCAAAATATAGTTGGAATTGTGATATTTTTTTCCCTGATATTATTAAACTCTAAGCGATATGCATTTAAAGTTAGATGGACACTATAAAAATGAAAATTTTCAAATAGAAACACAACAGATCGAAAACACTCGACACACAGGTGGCATTTTCCAAAGTGCTTCGCAAAACTAGGAATACTGTACCACGCACTGAGAATTGTTTCCTCAAGTATAATTCTTGCGGGGCTTTGCGATCAAGTTTATCTCCCTGAAGAGCTCTAAAGCTCTTACGCTTCAATAAATACGTCCCTCGCTCTGGTAGAATGATTTGAAGTGATGGTAATAACCTGCCGGCTTTTTAATCGCTCAGTGTTCCTCAGTTTTAATCACTTGATAATGAGAAAAATCTATACTGTATTGAATCAAAGACTTTGTTCTTGATAGTTTTATAACAGTATTAGTGATGAAGGCGGCTATCGGCAGTATCATTCAGTATTAATAAAGTGCACACTGTATTGAATATATTGAAGAATATCGTCAAGCTGAAGAGACACTGCTCTGCGTCTGCGTTCCATTTCCGCCGAGCGTCGCGCAGTTCGGTTCAGAGCTCAGTGTAAAAAGCGCCTTCAATCTGTAAGAATACGATTGTGTATGCATTCGCGTAACTGTTAGTCCTTCGTCCCTTCGCGTGGTGTCAACTTGAAAGTACTCGACACGGAGTGAATGAATTTACACGTATTGCAGTATTGTTAAGAGTGTGCATATTTTTTTTTTTACAATACACGAACAAATTAAATCAACGAGTGAAACTTACAGGATAGTTTCTTGATTTAGGTACTTGAAATTTTGTTGCTAAGATTGTGCAGCTTGCAATGGTAAACTTTACTCCGATGAAAGTTCACTTGACCTCGTTTAAAGTGTTTTGGAGAATTATGTCTTGACATTTAGATTTATTTCTTAGAACATTCCAAAGGGTTGGCCTGTGAAGCTAAATGTACAGCCAGGTACTATTTTAGATTTTTACCATTTTTCTTTTAATTTATCCAAATAAGGATGGCTGAGTTTTCAGCCGAAACTTTTTGGGTTTATTCGTTGAAATTTTGGCCTGGTTACCCGCTTTCTAGATTGTCTTTGTATTGTGAAGCTAAATGTTTCTGATTGGCAAAGACATTCATTGAAATCCGGGAAATTTTGGAGAAGGTCAAATGAGAATCTGTTCTTTTTCCGAATGGTCCCTGAATATGACCAATATTCATCACCTACTTATATTGTAAAGTTTGTCTTACTATGCATTCTCATTCTTATCACTCAAAGATTGAAGTGAGCTTTTTTTTACATATCTGGATTTTTAGCCAATAACGCCGTTAAGACTTATTCCACTTAATTTTTGTCATTACGCACGACGATTTGAGAGTTACGTTTCGTATTGTTACATAGTGATTCTGACCTCTTTTATTCTTTAGTTTGTCCCATTATGGCTGAATGCAGATATAATCTCTGGCCCGATTAACAGCAAGACAAAACCAGTGGATGCTGACTTCTTCCTGAAAGCGTGTGATGAGAAATTCCCAAATGCTGTGATCTCCGTTGGCTGGACCACTGAAATGAGTGAAAAAAATTCCGTCGGTAAGTGAATAATACCCATTTTGGTACATTCATATTCAACTTACACGGTCCCCCAAATTCTCTACGTTTTCAGTCATATAGGGAGGGTCTTAATACTTTCCCATGAGAGAGCACACTCCTCATACACAGTGGTCTTGAAGCCCCCCAAAAATGCGACAAAAATGTACCCAAAAACGGTTTGCAGGGAGTGAGTCTATGATACGCGTGGACTTAAAATCGCAAAAAATCAAAATCTTGGCTGATCCTAATTTCGTGATATCGCAATTTAAAATGTTTATGGTAAATGCAAGTTTTCTACTGACTTTGATCAGCTTTTTTATTGATTTGTCCTTTGAATCGGTGTTGACCGGTTCACGTTTTTATTTCTCATTCGATTTATTCGATCGAATACATACCCTCTAGTTACACGTAGACCACTTATCATACTTTTTTTAAACTGATTAATTCGCTTTCTGCTGCGTCTACAGCAATTTTTGTCACGAATATGTATGTGTGTTGTGTTGATTTTAGCTCATTAGATACTTGACTCTCTGACGGCGTTTTATGTGCGAAAGCAATTCGCCTTCAGTTGCGTCTGCAGCAATTGTTGTTACGTCTGTGTTGTGCGTGCTGATTTTAGTTCATTACATACTCGACTCTCTGAAGGCGTTTTATGTGCGAAAGCGATTCGCCTTCAGTTGCGTCTGCAGCAATTGTTGTTACGTCTGTGTTGTGCGTGCTGATTTTAGTTCATTACATACTCGACTCTCTGAAGGCGTTTTATGTGCGCAAGTGGCGCGAGATGTTGGAGAAGGAACGAAGAAGGGATTGAGCGATTCGTTCAATCTCACGTCTGTTGTTCTCCAACAGGGTGGTCTATTTTCGCACATTCAACGCCTTCAGAAAATCAAGTATGTAATGAGCCGAGATCAGCACGCGGACGTCCTCAAAACAGCAATCACTGCGGACGCAGCGGTGATAGGATATTTCGTCAACGATTTTTTGTCCGCGCACCTGTTTTTTCCAGCAATTTACGTCCGCGCGTTTTATCGGCACGGGAGTTTTGGTCCACGTGTCAGTTGAGACCCAAAGTTAATTGGTCCACATGTAAATACAAACGACAATTGCTCACGACGTTTTTGGATGAAAATGTATCATGTCTTGAAAGAATGAGGGTCCGCTTGTTTTTTTTTGTTTTGTCTGTTTGGTCCAACGGAGAATAATATATAGTTGAGAGTTTTGGTAACAATGGGGGAGCGTCAATTCCATGAGACAAAATTAATTAAAACTCTCTACACCTCTTTGGCGTAACAGGACTTAATTATCTTTCAAGATTTTCCCACCTTGTTATACCTGAACCGGATAAACCTCTATATTTGCCTCAGCTAAAGGCTCTTAGATTTTTACAGTTTACGATAAGTATCTTGAATTATTTTGCGAGGAAAGATCTGTACTTTTAAAGGATGCCTGTCATTCTTGATACGTTCAATTTCGTATGATACTATGCAACACCTCTGTTGTGAAATAGTTGCTTCAGGCGCAGCCTCACGGCGGGCGGGCGGCCAGCGCGAGAGGCTCACTGGCGCCTGCAAACCTAAGTGGATACTTCAAGCATTGTGCAATGCGTGAAGTATCCACTTAGGTTTGTAGGCGCCAGTGAGTCTCTCGCGCTAGCAGCACGCCGCGCCGCTCCGCTCTGTTAGGCTTTAATATTTATACTCGCATAGTCAGCGTTTTTTAACTCATGATTTTGAAATGTTTGCACACTCTGCATTGACTATTCTCATTTAAATAGATGGGAAAAAAATATGTATCAATTTATCAAAGGAGAGTAAAAATATAATGTGTGTTTTTTAAACATTGTTCCGTGTCAAATTTAATGATTTCCAAAGCACTTTCATTTTGCCTTTTACATTTTGTGCTTTTATTGTGCTGCAGCGAGGTTTACGCGCAACCAAACGCTCAAAATTTGACGTATTTGACTCTAAAAGATCGATGTCCAAATGGGTTAAAACTAAAGATTGCGTGCTTCTTGGTTTTTTTCCTCTTTTATTCATTTTAGCAGTTTCTGTCGGCACAACTGCGGCTTTTTGAGATTAATGTCGCTTGGAACAGGTTTTACAAATATTTGTCACGTTTTAAAAATATAAATGTTTTCAAAATGAAGTAATAATTTCGTAAAGAAAAAATTAAAAAAAAAAGTACCTATACACATATTAGGTATATTGTACATCGAATATTTTAAGGATAGAAATAAAACCAAATATTCACCAATGACAATTTAAAAAGATGATTCAAAAGGAGAAAGTAATAACATTTCATTTAGAAAATGAGCAACCATACAATACCTCCTTTTCTCTCAATTTCTCATTTCCATATTGTCAATATAATTTTACATACCGACTAAAATATAACGCTTGAACCAAGTCACCGTTGCTTATTTTATGGGTGGGCGTAAACTACTGTACAAAAAAGGCGCGCGGACAAAAAATCGTTGACAAAATGTCCTGAAACCGACGCAGCTGAAGGCGAATTGAAAGCAACCGTATAATATACACGTTGAAAAATGGATTCCCGAAAAGCTTTTCAACATAAACTAAGTAAGATGCAAACAAAATGTGCTTCCTGCCATACCTCATAATTTCACTGGAAGTCTAGTCAACTTAATTTTTTGAAAACACCCTTGATTTTTCTTCTCGAGCAGCAAAATTTTCAATAGAAAGTTCAAGCTACGTAGTTGACCTCTCCCTCTCCGAAAAAATTAAATAGAAGCGGAGATTTTGAGACACGGCAATGGAGATGTGTGATCTCGAATTTCAGCCATCAGAGTGGCCCATTCTAATAATTTCAATGAACGTTTACAATTTTAACAAGGTGGAGAAATGGTGCTGGGTCCACACAGTACACTACAGTTTCCTACTGGTACGTATTAGAGTTCAAAAAATTTAATTTTGACTCTTATTATAATTTTTGGAAAATGTTGGCTTTGTTTTCCCTGCGGAATGGTGTGGACCTAGCACCATTTCTCCACCTTGTTACATACAGTTCGGGCCACCTCTTCTTAGTGTTTTTTTTCCCTCTTTTTAAGCGTGCCAGTAGGGCTCGCTTTTTGAAATCACTCGAATGTACCATAGTACAGCACATCGATCAACCAATGCTACTCAACGGGCCGTCCAAATATTTTTTTCCTCGGTTCCGTTTTCTTGTCTTTGAACCATTATACTGTCAAGCCCTGATGGTCTCTTACCAGAAAACCGAATGAACTGCTAATTGGGAACCCTTGAGAACATTTTCCTGTCAAAACCGTATTATTTCATTTGACAAAAACCTCATAGAAGCTTTCTTACGCTCGGAGGACTCAACTCTAGAACCTTCTTTCCCGCCAAAACTGTTTAGCCAATGAGCGTCTTGCACTGCAAGTGCAATCTGTGATGAGCCTCGTGACTCTTTATACCATGTACTAACCGTGGCCCCTGCAGAAANGACCCGATTGATTGTACCGGTTACATTTGCAGTGCGTGCCGGTTTGGCTGCGCAGTCGCGCGGTGCCCTCGTGTCTCTCATCGAGACATCCGTCCCCGGAACGACTCTAACGATTTGGATGAGCAACGAGAATGACCCAGTCAGCATTCCAAAACTCAGGTTCGTAACCTTGTAGACAGGGCAGAATTTCTGAACCACGATGCAAGATAATCTTTCCTCGATGGCTTGATTGAAAAATCGGATCATAGCTAGATCCGAAGACCGTCATCAACATTGGTCACAGGATAATTTTTCGTTGCTACTTTGTTTAGAAGGTTGAGGGAAGAAAAATACATTTTTTTTTTTATTTTTTTTTTATGGTAGGTAAATAATGGAAACATCATAGGAATTGAAATGGGGGGGGGATGAAATAACCAAACGCTCGTAGTCAAACGGTAGAGCTGATCTATATCTCGATACAAAATACAACGGTATACACAAGATGCACTGGCTAGATGCTCCTACAGGTACTCGCTGCCTCGAAGATACGAATGAATCCGCCGCGAATCTCGAGAGCATACATCTCGTAGCATCCGATGACGCGATGACGTCAAAGACGTGATTGCGAGATACATCGGTGCTCCGAGATGGATACTCTAAACATCCAAATGCTCGCCTGAGCCCGCACTTGTGAAATCGATGGCTTTCGGCCCGAATGAGCTAGAAAGCATAATGGAATGTGGTCCTAAAACGTAAGTGATATGGCCCCATTCTATTACAGAATTTCAACCAAAGTTCTAAACTAAAGTGTTCAAATAATTTTATAGCTATAGCTTACGCAATTGTTTAAAATAGTTTGATGGCATGTAATTTGCCCATAAGGTGCGGAAAATTCCATCCTCACATGAAGCTTGTATATTTCTTTGACCAAGTAACTGATGTTGTAGGATATTCTACGGTAACTAAACTACGCAAAATGAAGGCGCATAAAAGACATCATGCTCTGTGTCGCAAAAGCGCTCCGTCCAGTTCCAATTCAACTCGATGCCTGGAAGAATCATCCAGGGAATGTTCATACATAGTTTCTTCTTATCATAACAGTTTAACCATCAATACATCGTCGTTCCTTCACGAAATAATGTCACTACTTTTCGATGTTGCCAAATTTTCCTTCGCAAGTCGCATATTTACCTGGAGAATCTTAGGCATTTCAAGCTGAAAACCTCACCGATTTCACCTCATCTCTTATGCAAAAATCAAAAAATTTTTGGACAAAAATTGCACAAGTACATTCTTGTAAGAAAATGCACTGTTTGTGCCAATTTTGCAACCTTAGGATGGAGTTATATTGTCGCTTGGCTGACATAAGGGCGTAACTACACATTGAGATGAGCCTGGAAAAGCATTGAATTGTATGGAGCCCAGGGTTCATCGCAGATTGTAGTTACGCCCTTATGTCAGGTAGGCGACGATGTTCTCTCATCCAAGAAACGATGATACGCATCACTCTAGAGGTAATGTAGTACAAATGAATGCAATTACAAGTACATAATTGACAATACAATTGTGCTTACGTTTGCATTATTTCGTTTTGTTTACTTTTGCAGGTGCCTCATGAAGACAGTCGGACTAAACAGGACCTTCATTGATGTCCCTGATAAAATCAGGCAGAACCTAGATCTGGCTCACATCGAGAATGCAACATGTCTACCGGAGACCGGCCCTGATGATGGGAATCACGCAGTGCCTGTCGCCCAAAGTTTCACACTTCTCCTCATCGCATTCGCTTTATCTGTCTTTGTTTCGATGTAAATGAAGTTCGCCATAAAGTTAAAGCTGAAATCTCCAAAGTTCCAACTGAAACCTACTGATTTTGTTTGATATGGGTTTCCGCTCGTTGAGAGAATCCAAAGATTTGTTTCCTAAACCAAGACCAAGACTGACATAGGTTGTTCATGCAAATTTCAACCTATTTTTGAAGTTGCACTAAAAATCCGTTTTTTTTTTGGTGAATTTGTCAACAATGAGCTATCAACAGTTGATTTGTGCCTTTTACAGACATCTCGTCACCCCACTGACGTAAGGGCGTTTCTCAATTTCCGCGTGAGCCCTGTTTTACATATAAATGCATGCTTTCTTGGGCTCATGCGAAAATCGAGATACGCCTTTCCGTCAGTGGAGCGATGATGTGTGGTGTAGTGGCCGACTCTACGTTAATTTTTAAAAAGTTGGCAACTCTTTCTCCTCTATTTAAAATATTGATTCTTAGGGAGGCACTTTCCCTCACCTAAATCGATATTTTTAAAGGATTCCAATGGAAGGGAAACTTTGTTGCCAACTTGCAGAATCGCCATTGAACTTGTATCGGAAGGTTTGCCCTCAAACACGAGCGTTGGAATGTGAAAAATCACCTAAATTAACGCAAAACACGGCTCCCCTAGTCATGTGGCAGCGATCTCGTAATTGCGCATCACATAAGAGAGATGATTCGATGATTACGTGCTGGAAGATGCGGTGGATATGTCCATTTCGTCTCTCAAGAGCAAGACTTAATCAATTTTGAATGTTTCCGATAGAAAGGTAAAGTTTCATGAGGTTTCTTCATAAACCGAAGCATATTGAAGTCTTCTTCAAGTAAAATCTGGTAAAATGTAAATATTGAGTGATTCTGACGCCGAAAGGTTTATTCTGAGTGAAGATAGAATTTTGAATCCTGAGTTTTGGAGAGAATATTCAACAAAAACCATTGCAAGCATAAAAGTAATCAAAACTGAACTTTCTATCAAATAATGATCAACTTATTTCCTCGCGTTCTATTTGCATTTGGTTTGCCTTCGCAAATCCTTTTTAGAGCAGCGGGAAGGTGATCGAGGGATGAAATACACTTTTATTTTGATACTACATCTTGCTTAGTAATGTTCTGCTCATTTAGCAATATTTATTCTGCAAATAAGTTATCTTGATTGCGTCGAGAAATCTCATGGAATTTAAAAATTGCTAATTGGAGTCAGCCCTCTCATTCCTCTCAATTTAAAATTGATTTTTCCAAATTTGATGTACACAATTCCCTAGTCCCACCTATTTCCTTGTTACTGAAAATGTTATTGCAGCAGTATTAGCGCAGCATTCACTAACCCAATATGCATATTAGTTGTGACACTCAGTATACGTGTATATCGTGTATGCGTATGTTTCTACACGTTTAATGAGATTCAAGTATTCAAAATTACGTATTGCACTTTACACTGAAAAAAAAAATTCTTAAGATATTACTTTTACTTAAAGTGTCGTTTTTTGTCGACAAATTTTGGGTTTCCCGAGTCGAATCTGTGCGGATTTAACTGCAAGTCAGTTTTTTAGGCACGGGAACGTTGTTCTGTTATCTTTTTTTAAACTTAAATTTAACGACAAACAACTTTTCTTTCACACAAAAAAACTGACTTTAAGTCAAATCTGGACGGATTTAATTCAGAAAAAACAAACTTTGTCGACAAGAAACGACGCTTTAAGTCAAAATAATATCTCAAAAAAAATTTTTTTGGGTGTAGTTTTGTTCATTTTCACAGAATTTGGTCTTCACATTCAGTAAGACTGCGAGAAAACGATTTGACCTCGTATTCGGTGATCTATAATTTAGGATTAAACACACAATTTATTATTAGGTGTCATAAATTAAGTGTTACCAGCATACCAAGAACTTTTTTTCCACACCGCTCAACAAAATTATATGTATGAATGTCACTGATTTTTTATGATATTTGAATGAGGTACAGTAATCGGCATTTAGACGCCAATGAATTTGATCAGAAAAGTCATTCCAATGTTTTGTTTTTTCCCTCATTTTTTTATGTAATTCATCCACATACGCTTCTACATCAATACCACATACCTACTCATACAATCACTGCTCTCGCCAGTATTAGAACACATTTTACTTATAATTAGCCATTTTCATATTTTACAACGACATCGCTACACAAGTATAATTTCCATCCGAAAAATCGCAATATTTTGAAATTAAGTTGAGATTTGTTTCAACTTTTTGGCGATTAAATAGCTAGAATCATCAACATCTGAGCAATTATCCTCAATCTAGTCGCAATTTTATCTCTATAAATTCGCGTCAAATAAAAACGAAATTATATCTCATTTCATTACGATTTTTTGTTTGATAATACCTATTGCAATAAATCGACATCGATAAAATCGCGATATATTCTCCGATAAAATCGCAACTGATCGCGATCACTGCTGCTCGGGTATGGAAAAATATATCTCCCCTAAGTTTATAAAAAGCTTTGAATAAACGTTGTTTCTATGGTTAATGTTTTACTATAATAATTTAATTGCACTGATCATAGCACCTTACGTGTTCAGTCTCAATGTACGCTTTGCATGAGCACGTTGAAACTGGAGGAGCACATCAGTATGCAGCAGCGAGAACAACAATAAAAGTATAAGGCAAAAATTAGAGGAAGTACCGCGAAATAATTTTGTATTACTTACAACCATTCCTGGTCCTTAATTAGAATGAAGAAGACAAAACATTTTTTAAAAAAAGCATTATGAAGACTTGCATTATTTTATCCAAAATCACGAGCCGAAGGAACACGTTGCCTGCCACACGCACAGTCCAACACAGAAGTCTCGTACTAATTACTTTCCCCTCCTCGTGATATGACATGTGTAATTGTTTATGGTACATATAATTATTGGAAAAGTGCAATTATTGGACTAAAAATTAACTAAAATCAATTTTTGCTGTAACCATGCACTTCAATATATTTATCAATTATAAAAGTTTATGAAGACATAAGTTTAATAACCGCCGATTCAGGGGCACCTCAGCAGTTTTTTGGGTCGAACTAAGATTTATTTGTGGTGTAAATTTCATTTCTGAAACAGCTTGTCCTCGAAATTTCAGTCTTTAAAATATGAGATTTTTTCATTTTGGCAACGTTTATAGGCGAAATTAGGTATTATCCTAGAGTTCAAAACTCAAAGGTAATTTTATGAGCCCCATCTCTTTTTTTAAAAGGGTATAACTCATCTGGTAGGATTTTGGAAGGAATAAATTCCCCAAATTTTAACTCTGGCTACCTACCTGGAGTTTTGGCACCCCCTCACTACTCCCATCAAGAGGAGGTCTCCCCTTTTTGGGGAGGGAATGGGAGTGAGGTGCATAGAAAAAACCCACCGCTCCCAATTTTCCCCCATTTAATCTACAAATGTTGCCTTAATGCTAAATAGAATAATTATTTCGAATTAGGAAGCTAAATGTTCGAAGAATTGAAGAAAAGCAAAGAAATGTTTTTTCACGAATAATTCTTGTATCGACCTCAAATATTCCTGAAATCTATTAATTTAATCCTGAATAATTCTGCATGTGTAACCTTGGTGTACTTAACTTTTTTCTTCACTTTCTTTAAAATCCTTTTTCTCTCTTTTAAACAGTTTTTCATGTCAGATTGTTTTCTCGAGGACATTTTCGTTAAATCGTTTAATATCAACTATGTGATTTTATTTTTTTAATTGTTATTACTTTAAATATTTATTTTTAGCGAAATGATGTTAGCCTAGCTCAGTTTGCCTAACTGGTCATTCTATGACAACTTTCAGAAAATTTAATCGCGAGCTGGGCATCTTCCAAATTTTTACTTTTTTATTTTTTCCTCTGTAATATAATTCACGAATGTTTGTTAATATTTTGTCAGAGTAGTTGATTGTTCAAAACTCGAAAGGGATGTTTCAAAAGCGAAAAGATGAATAAAATCGATATAAAAATTCAATGCTTTTTGTTTTGTGATCCAATTCTCTTATTCCTGGCGGAGTTGATTAGCCTCAGGTATCTTAAACGTAGATCAGTCGATATCTAAGCCGGAATTCTCGTGATGCCCGGTATTTTACCGGTATTTTTTAGGATGCTACATGGTTACCGAAACCGCGGATCTTTATTCTTTTCTCATATATCGGGGGTTTATCTCGAACTGTTGACATTAAATTTTTCACAAATTTACTGGAACATGTCTATAACGAAAGAAATTGGGACCCGAGTTCATTCACCCATTTTACCTCTGCCATTGGCTGCCGTATTAGATATTGGTAACTTAGCCATGTGTCTCAGTGACCTCATTTACAAAATATGAGTTGAAGACACTCATCCAAGGTGACTCGGTCCACCAAGCAGGGTTGCAATTTTTCATGAAAAATAAAATCTTGAAATTTCGTATGGAATGTTTCATGAACTTTCAGAAAAATATGAAAAATATTGATAAATATTTCTCGAGGTTACATTCAAAATTAAATGAAAGGCGACTGGTTTTTGCTTTTTGGAGTTTTTTTGGTGCGTGTTGCATACCCAACCCTTGAAAATATGTTTCATATTTTTCACAACTTTGTGGAATTTCATGAAATATTTCACGGACATTTTTTGATATTACATTTCACCTGTGCAACCCTGTCACCAAGGCACAATTTTGCTATTTCCTCTGCTGCCTTCAGAATAAATTTTTCTGGCCCCTATCCATTGGTAGTCAAAGGAACTTCCGGTGATAGAAGCCTTCCAAATTTTGACGTATGCAACATGACTCGTCCAAAGTGCTGTTCTGGAGCCAGTCTAGTGGAATATTTTCAACTTGTCGACCTTTTGACTTTTGTGAAATTCAACCGCACTCTTTAATTGACCTGTCGGACTTGTGCTATCGTACACGAGGATGATGAAACGTTGAATCATCCAAAAAATCTCTCCATCCACAGCATTTGACGTCCATATTCGGAGGAAAAAAAATTCCAACGCTGTAAAATGCGGAGATTGTGTCATAGCCAAAAATGCGTGAACAACCGAAATGGTTGACAGGGAGAGATAAAAAGTTGGGACGAACTGACGAACTTTCCACTGATTGTACTTTCCAATTTTTTAGTATACCACATTCAATACATATATTTTTTAGATCTTCATTAGCCAACACAGCAATCGCAATGATATTAAACTCCACTTAAAAAACGCACAATACATTAAAAAAGCGCTGTTAACTGACGGCTCCTAATGTGCTTGAGTGCAAAGAGCAGGGCTCTGGATTTAGAGAGGACCACTGACACATCGTTGGTGCTGATGATGGCAGAAGTGATGGCCCAGTGGCAAAGCGCGAATGGTCGATTATCGATGTTTCCCCATTTGAAGCTACGGTGAAGAATCGATTATTAAGTTGTTCGTTGCAAACATTCTGTCGATCCTTTTCCATAGGTTTAAATGGCAGATCAATCGATATACGCCAAAGGGACCGTTCAAGTATTACGTAACGCACTTTTCCCGATTTTTGGACCCCCTAATCCTGCTTATCCTCGCACTCAACCGTGATTTTATACTCTTTAACAATTTCATGAATAATAACTAAACATAACAAAAGATAAAGATCTAAAAAAATGAAAACCTATTAAAAGGAAGAGAAAAAAAACTTAAGAATAAATTAATGAAATGATTTGTAAAAAATTTGATTTTTACTATCAAGCCCTAGGGGTTGTTTTTTTCCCCGAAAGTATTCTGATAGGATATTTACGTGCGTGTCGCTAAACTCACGCACGCAAAATGGAAAAATTGGATTTTCAGCATCATTCATATCGACGGTGTAAGTCGGCAATCACGTAACTCGATTTGCGACGTCGCAGACTTCCTATCATACTTTATTTTTTAAGCGGAAAACTACTCAACGGCTATTCTTTAAAACTGCAGTGATTTCTCTTCTCTGTGCGAAGAAAATTCTGCAAAAACTTCAAGGAATCATGTCAATTTGTTCTCCTCTAAAGAAAATAACATAGAGGCGGAGATTTTCAGACACCGCAAACGAGTTATGTGATTGCCGACTTACACCGTCGATATGTAGCTGAGTGAAACGAAGTTGAAATCATGACGTCACACAGGAAAAAATCGGATTAGACTACGTGCATCATGCGTTGAAGAGACATCATGCAACTGCCTTTCTTTTTTATGGTTCCCATAGAGTTTCACTCGTACACCCGTTGATCCCTCTGTCTGCGTGACTAAACCCCGCGAAAACTGGCTTCAAGGCTGGAATGAACGTAGGTCAAACTCTTTTAAAATTCTTTCCGGATCCGTATGCCACATTTCGCTCTCAGTATACGATCCACAAGTCGTCGAGCACAGTCCCTTCGGTTCCACCCGAGTGTACCTCACAACATACCCCCTTTCCCCGTAAAGTACAAATTAAAATACTTAAGGTGATAAATAAAATATGTTTATGTTACTTTCTATTAAGAACAATCACGTTACCTTTCAAAGAGAAATAAAATATCTTATAGGGCGAAGCTATGAGAGTCCTGTGCCGAGCATGGCGTTTTTTACATTTTTGAATTTCGTTTATTCCACTGTGAATCTCATGATATGACAGGACGCATTGAAGGGGAGACAAATTTGAGGAAATTGGACCAACCGCGAGGAATGAAATTGTCGATTTTCAAACGAGCGATCCCATGGATATTGATTGCGTGTGTTCTCAGCAGTTTGAGAGACTGTTCAGCGAGTTCTCGTGCTTTGTCAAGAAGCAATGTATCAGGTAAGTCAAAGATTACTCAAGGGTAATGATCGTCATGCTCTCCTTTTTGACTCATGCAAACAAAATTTGACTTCTCACCACGCAAAACTCATTGTCAGGCAAGGGAAGAAAAATTCACTCTATTTATTCACCCTCAGGGGTTACCTATCATTGATGAAGAGAAATAAACACCAGCTCGATGAAAATTATTCACATATTCAGGTTCTTGCGATTGATCTGAAAATTTCTTCCAAAGATTTTCATTAGACCTTAAATAAGTTTTACCTTTAGATTTTAAGAAACATTACGGTATATTTAATATTAAAATGATATAAAAATGCACACATTTTGTGCAAAGATGAGTCCTCTTGATTTTTAAGTAAAAATTAAATGTAACTTTTACTTCTACAAAACTTAAGATATAGAGACCATAAGTTCGTCTTATGAGTGCAAGTTATATATTGTGTGGAACTTCTATCCTTAAATTATTTAATCAAATAGTCCTATTCATCATTTATATATAAATCCTAGGATAAACATTAGCGTTCATAGATAAATTATAAGAAACATGTTTATGACATCAAATAATTTTGTACCAAATTGCTCAAATTTGCCACTTCCATTGCTCGAAAATAGGATCAGAGAAGAGCGGAACCTATGAACAATTGAACACTAGTGAATAATGAACTAAAATTTTAAACACTACAAAGGCTTTATTCGCCCTGGTAAAAATTGGCAGTAGAATCTGCGTTCCAAAATACCATAGACCTAAAGCCGGCTGTAAGATTTTCAATAGCTTCTATAGCCGGCTGCACAATTTCTTATAGCCTACAGCCGATGGCGATTGAACAACAGCCAGGCGATAAAGTGTATGCTAAATGTCAAGACAGGCGGTAGCCACCCCCGGTCGAGGAAAATGACGTCCTACTACAGTCCCGATAGCAAACGTGTGGCCGACAGTCTTAGTCACAGGCAACTCCCTTAATCTGAAAATTACTAATTACGGATGCCAGGACTTAGTGAGTTTTTGAACTTCCGCTCTATTTTTGGGCCGTAGTATCTTGATTTATTTTGCGCAGAAAGCTCCGTACTTTTGAAGGATGTCTGCCATTCCTAATATGTCGGAGCGCCTTCAATTTCGTATGATATTGTGCAATACCTCTGGTGTGAAATAGTTGCTTCAAGCGCCGTGGCACACTGCGGCGCGGCGGGCGGGCAGCCAGCGCGGAAAGCGCCTTAGCGCCTACAAACCCAACAGGGATACTTCACGCATTGCGCCATGCGTGAAGTATCCCTGTCAGGTTTGTAGGCGCTGGTGCGCGCTTATCACTGGCAGCACGCCGCTCCGCTCTGTGTTAGGCTCCAATGTAATCTTGCGGAGTCAGCGTTTTTCAACTCATGATTTTGAAATGTTTGCACATCCTGTATGGATTATTCTCGTTTTAATTGATGAAAAAAAATATGTATTAAAGGAAAATATAATTTGTGTTTTGTGAATATTATGGTGGTTCCGTGTCAAACTTAATGATTTCTAAAGCACACGAATTTCTACACAATTTCTTACAGCCTTTACAGCCGATGGCGATAAAGTGTAAAGCCCGACGATAGGAACTATAGCCCGGCTGCATACTTCTTTATCGCTTCGTATAGCCCAGCTATATGATTTGCTCCGCTTTCTACAGCCAGCTAGCTATATGATTTTCTATTGCCTTCTTTAGCCGGCTATAAGAATTCCTATGGTATTTTGAAACGCAGCTCCTATTGCCAATTTTTACCAGTGCGAGTTATCACAGGAATTATTTTCAACTGCTAAATAATAAAAATGAATGCAAAATTGAGAGGTGACCTGATTTCAGTTATCATGCGACCACTTTAATTCAATCACAAATCAACTAAAATATATACAGTGCGTAAGAAAAAAAAAATTGAAGAAAAACATGGGAAGTAGCAGCGAGCAGCCCCCTTCCTCCCCCCGGATACACTGCCAACTGTTTTAATGTTAGCTTTGAGTCTCCAGGCACCCCGCGTGCCGCCGTATTTATCCCTTTCCGATCGAGACTATAGGGCTCCTTTCCCCTCTTTTGAGGCCTTTGAGCCCCGTTGACGAATTTGAGCATTAAAATCTTGATTATCAGGGCCCCTTTATTCTTTGCTAGGCCCTATTTAAATTTTTGAATACTATATAATTTTGAGGTCTCGCTTGCTCCTCCGTCGCTTTTGAAGCCTCATGGGCCTCGTTAATACCGTCCAGTGTTTTAAAGAGTCTTCAAGGGCCCGAATTTGAAATTAGTGAGCCCTGCTCCTTCGTTGTATTAGCGGATTAATAATCTAGTCGCACTGTTTCTCACTCGTTCCGATCAGTTCGCCTTCAAAATCTCTAAAGGCAATGTGAGCGGCTTACGAGCAGTAATAGTTGCTCGCAGTAATTCGGCCACGTTCACTCAATTTTGTTTGGTAACACTTCGCTTCAGCTGTAGCAAGTTTTTTGTAGTTAGAAAAATACAGGGTGGGCAATGAACATTGCTCGATTGAGAGGCCTGCCGAAACCATATGTAGTACGCGATTGGACTCACTTAGAGTAATGCGTTTCTGAAGACCGAGCAATACAAATTTCCCGTTACCGATGTAAACTAAAAAGGTTCATATCTTAGTTAGGCGTTGATTTCAGTAATTTTTGATGCGAAACTCGTGTTCTTCGTTCAATTTTGATTAGGAAGCAAGTATCAGAATGCTTAAATTCGTACCTTGTCCATTGTCCTTTTTATAATGTCATGCCAAAGACAGTTAACTATTTTTAATTAGATTGCATTTTGCAAAAAGGAACCACTAGCATTGCAATGTTGCTAAGATTGTGCAACTTCTTTTGTCTTGGAGGAAAAACCCGATTATCTATTAATAGTCTCTATTTTACTCACTAAAAACTGTAAATTTAAGAAAAAAATTACCATCTAAATTTCATAGTTTTTCACGATTTCCGCAATTTTACTGCAAAAGATGAAGTTGCACAATCTTAGCATCATTGCAATGCTAGTGGTTCCTTTTTGCAAAATGCAATCCAATTACAATGCAAACAGAAAGGGCTTCCCTGAGTGAAAGAGCTATTTAAGGAACGACTATGAATACTCTTCACCTCACTTTTACTCATTGAAAAATTGCACAATATATTCCAAACAGATGGTCGAGTGGTGTACTCGCTTCTAGCTCCTTCGAAGGCGACTCCAGAGTTCGCCGGGTTGCAGACTCTCCAGGCGCGGTGCATGGAAATGCTGACGGCCGGCCTGAATGCAAACAGGGCGATGACCAATACGATGGACCAATACGGGAGAATAATGGGGGCTGCGATGGGGGCGGCCTTGAGTCGTTCCGCGTCCGCCAGGGCCGCATCTCGGAGAGGGCGCCAGAGCAGAACGACCTTTGATCAGTGGACCTACTACATCCGGCCCCCGGGTGGTGGCCGCCCCATCAGGAGGTCCGTCACATCGCGGAGCAGCAGTAGAAGCGGATCCCGTAGCTCTCGGAGCAGTCCATCTCGTAGTTCCAAAAGAAGCGTCTCTGGACGTAGCGTCTCTAAGAAAAAAGGTGCGTGATTTTCCTCTTCTCTGCGTATGTGACAAAGCCAGGAATGATGCGTTTTCCCCGCAATAGAGTACATATCGACGGCGTAAGTCCGCAATCACATATTTCGTTTGCAGTGTCTGATAATCTGCGCCTCTGTGTTATTTTTTTAAAGGAGAAGAAATTGATATCATTCATTGAAGTTTTTGCAGAATTTTCTTCGCACAGAGAGGAAAAATCAAGGCAGTTTTAAAAAATTGCCGTTGAGTAGTTTTCCGTTTAAAAAATAAAGTATGACAGAAAGTCTGCGACGTCGCAAACCGAGTTACATGATTGCCGACTTACACCGTCGATATAGGGAGAGTGCGGACATGTCAAATTGTGGATTTCAAAATTTGGGCCCAAAAGAGCAGCCAGCCTTGTAACACAAAAATGTCACTGCCAATATTCAGATTCTAATATCAAACGAAGATGGCCAAGAATGCTCATAATTGAGCGTTCTTCTGCAAATCGAGTAAATTTATGCACAAACTAAGTCAAATACGTGCATTGCAAACAACGAGTCGTAACAAGTGTAATAATAAATCACCCTTGATAATTTGAATCCATAGGTTAGCTGCCTTTTTGGGCCCTAAAAACTCCATGGCCTTTCCTCAAAATTACCGACATGTCCGTAATTTCTCTGTAAAGATTCTCTACCCCGCAAGGACCTCCGAAATCCCTCACTTCGGAGCTTCTGCACACCGAAAAAATTAGGATAATGTATCATCATACCGGGTTTCTCTTAAAAAAAAAAAAAAAAATACCACGATCTCAAAAATTTTGTCCTAATCGTCCTCACATTGAACTTTTAGCATTCCAAGGACGTAAAATAGCAGTAGGAGAGTATGGGTAGTTAAAAAGAATGTTTTGAGAACGTCGCACATTTTTAAGAGCTAGGATGATTTTGCGACCAAATGTTGAGATTTTTAGGAGGGGGAGGGGAGGCTCTGTCCCCCTCCTGCAGGAATATCGGCAGCATGGGTGAGCGATTTTGAACTTTCAGGCGTAGATTTATGTTGCAATTTTCTGCGTATTTATGACGAAATTGCAGAAATGCGTAACTCGATTTGCTGCGTTGCAGATTTCCTGTCAATTTATTTTTTACATGGAAAACTACCGAACGTCATTTTTTTAAAATGTTAGTTACTTTTTTTCTCCTCACAAAAAATATACTTCAAGCCACGCGATGTTGGTTCGGTCTGATTTTAAAAAATAATATGGGATCGGAGATTTCGAAACACTGCAATCGAGATGATTACAGTCGATAGTTCTTGTGAGTAACACGCAGTTTTGCAATTTCACCTTCGATGTGTATCAACGAGACTTTCTAATAATTCCTGATTTGCACTATTTTGATTGAATGATTTTTCTTTTGACCTTAAAGGATTTTCAGACTTATTAAACCAGATCCTGAATTTTTAACCGTCACAAAAAGTTCTAGATATTGGAAAGAACGTAACGCGGTATTGCGATGAGGTCAAAATGGACCAACGTTTCTCTGATGTTTTCCCTCTTTCTCCTCCAATGAAAGTATATTTCTTCCTTCTCTTGTGCCATTAAATTCATGCCTAGCGAATCATACTCGCAAACATGGAAAAACAGGATGCAAACATGTTTTTACATCTTCCTGAAAGTGTAAGTCATGGAAGTGACGGCAAAGGCTTTTTAAACCCCTCTTTTGCGGCTGAAAGGGCACGGGAGTTAATCGTGCGTGACTTGACGGCATAAAACGTATCTTTTTACGTCAGTTTCGCGATCCGCATTTGCCAAAAATTTCAACGGAGTGTTGATGGAATGACAGAAATGAAATCAGCGTTCGTCATGAAAGAAACGGAGCCCGTTTATGACACACAAACGGTGCGAGTCAATGAGGCATTTTGACGCACCAATGAGAGGTGCGGTGCGTCAATTCAATTCAATTAAAAGTGTAAAAACAAGGCGAAAACACTCCGTAGTGGCCACCTCACCTTAATTTGACTTAATCGGCCAGATTTTCCCGTGGAGTACTCGTCTCAAAATTTCCGCGTGCGTGTTTTTCCGCAAAAAAAGCGTGCTTCGCTGGCACATCGTGATGCGTAACACCGACATTAAATTATGACTTACAGCGGTGCCAACTCATTCCATTCGTATAGGTGGACTTGTGACACCTCTGTGGGATGAGAAGTATAAGTTAGCAAATTGAACCGATCTAAAGCACTGCGTTGCACCAAGAGTGCAGTTTATTTTTCTGTCATAACGGCAAAACGCTGGAATTGTGGGAATGTCCTGGGAAATTTTAAACTTTTCTCCAACGATATATTATACTAGCCATGTCTGGATCGACTTCCAAAAACGGGTTGACATATTAATGGACTTGCCATTTGGGAGATTTTAACCAGTGATGATGTGAATTTGTGAAACTTAAATGCAAGGGTGAGGGCATTGTGTGAGCAAATCAACGCTGAAACTGTGAAATTCGTGGTTCAAAATGGGAGCCTTTTCGTGCGTATGAAAAGGGTTAGATTTCGCGTGGAACGAGATGATGTCACCCTGCACCAATCGGTAACGAGTCTGGATCATTACGGCTACGAAAAATGTTCATATTTTTGCAAGTTGATCACAATAAAATGTGGAGTGATTTGCTATTTATCCGGCGGTATCTTGCCTACAACGATTTTAAGTGCCTCGATTACAAAAAAATTGACCTTATAGTCAAATATCAGTCGATACCGATAAGAAAAAAAACTATTTTGAAATGGATTCGACTACTGCGGCACTCATTGCCTTCAATTTTCCATGATTGGAGTGCGTCTGGAAAAAAAAAAAACATTCAATTCACGCAAGCTTTAAAATCGGCTTCCCCAAGGCTTTTGAATACACTCTGCCTCCTCTTTAATATTAGAATAATTCATTGAAAATGGTCCATTAAGACGGATAAATAACTTACGGGAGTGAGGTCTGGCAACTCAAGAAAAGAACTGAAGACATGCTGAGGGCAACCGAGATGGACTTTTGGCGAAGGCCTGCTTGGATATCGCGAAGAAAGCGTATCCGCAATGAAAAGGTACGCGAGATAATGGGTGTGGAGAAGGGCATCGTGCACGATATCAAGTCCGAGCAGTTGGTCTGGTATGGACATGTGCAATGGATGGCAGATGATCAATTGCCCAAGCAGGTCTTCGATTGGGTTCCTCCCGGAAGGCGACGGCGTGGACGTCCTGTGAAAGGTTGGCGACAAGGGGTGGAGGAGGAGATCAGAAGGTGCCAATTGCCTGATGATCTCTGGGAGGATAGGGGGCAATGGCGATTGGGCGTCGCAGAGCGCGAGGCGGCGCTATAATCGCGACTTTATGTATGTAAGACGGATATATTGTGACGCACCCCTATTTTGAACTGTTGCAGGGCGGAGCTCGGGGAGCAGTAAACGGGGCAGAGGCTCTCCGAAGGGTAAAAGGACCAAATCTCCGAAAAAAGGCACACCTAAAAAAGGCAAAGATGATGACGATGATGATGACGACGACGATGACGACGATGATGATGATGACACACCAAGCTCCTCGCCCAGCTCGCCGGCTCGGCCTCAGAACCTCCTCATGCAGCCTCAAGTACCCCGTCAACAAGCACCCCCACAACCTCAAGTCCGTCAGTCACCCCCGTCACCTCAAAGAACCCTGCAACAACCGCCCGGACAGCCGAATGGTTTACGCCAGAACGACTTGCCCGTTGATGAACTGGTGCGGAGGCTAGAGGAATATTCGCGAAGTCCCACACCACCCGTTCAACCGGTTAACTCCCCGTCGCCGCCGCGGAGGCCTCTCAGTTTCGCCCCTGGTGTTCCTCGGCCACCTGCTCCCGCCAGACCCAACAGCCCCACCGGCGCACAGTGTGTCAAAACCCCAATCTAGCTGCTCAAAACCCCCCTTATATCAAGTCAACAAATGGTGTTATTTATGGTCAGAGTGGGTCCACAGGCACCCACTGGTTACGTATCTATCATGGTTATCACAAAAATAAATTTTTGGGTCGCTAAAATGATAGGGATTGCAGCCGGTAAACGTCCAGCCTCAATCTCGCCATCAGGAGTGGTGCCACTGTNTGCGGCGGTCGATCAGATCCGAACCAAGCGCGAAAACCGAACAGGTATATTTTGGATTATACGAAACCTGGCGAAATGCGGAAAGTGGAGACGTTCGGGGAGCCCCTCACTCCGTCGAGATACGGCCTCGAAACTTTCCCTACGGATCTTTTACACCTCCCCGCGAATGAGTTTGAAAGAAGGGCGAAAAACTCCAAAGGTCAACCTCAGAAGATGGATGGGATACCGGACGACGTAGCCATGGCGTTCGAAAGACTTCCACCGCAAAAGAGAACGCCAGTGCGACGTAATGGCTTGGATACGCCGTCTTTCATGAATGGCGTTGCTGGTCACCAAAGATTTCGCTAGCCGGCCAAGTTGGCCTAGTGGTCAGCGGGACTGACTCTAGGTCAATAGGTCCCGGGTTCGAATCCCGGTGGTGGCGTCTAATTTTCACGGAATTGACGAGTAGATCTGCTGAAACAGATTCTTTTCGGCCCTAATCCCTGAAAATTGGAAAAGTCTGGGGCATGGAGATCCCACGATGTCTACGGACACTAAACATTGTCCAAAGTTGGCTGACGGTGCTAGACACGAAGCCATTAAACCAGCAGAAAAAAAGATTTCGCTAGCGATTTTCCAGATGTCTTAATGAGTCCAGTGTTCCATTCAAATGCATACAGGCCTGTGTGTATCTATTACCCAAGTAGCGGTGATCGCGATGAGTTGCGATTCGATCGGAGAACGTATCACGATTCAATCGCCGTCGATTTATTGCAATATTATCGGGTGAAAAATTGCGATTTCATCACATACATTTTCAAAAAAATCGCGATATATCGCAATATTATCGAACAAAAATCGTGATTATTTGAGATAAAATTTTGATTTAATCAAACGCGATTTTACAGGGATAAAATTGCGACACGATTGGGTATAATCGCTCAGATGTTGTTGATTCTAGCGATTTTATTGTGAGAAAATCGTAAAAAAAAAATTGCAGCTTAATTTGAAAATATTGCGATTTTTCCGTTGAAATGCTACTTGGGTAATGAGTGAAACCTGGATAAGAGCGCTTGTTAAACATGGAGCACTGGCGGTTGAGCCCGATGGATCCGCAAAAAGAATGATGAACTCTGTTTTTTACGTGCATGGTTTCCATATCCAGGAGAGAAGTCACCACCCACTGTGAAAATACGGCGCATTATGTTATCCATCACGTCATTGTGCATTTTGTATCTTGTGTCGGGATCTTCATGTTACGCTGTGTAGGTAGAGTATAATAAGCACGGTATGCGTCAGATAGAATACTTATTTTTGGGTGTTCTGTCAAAAAAAAAAAAGAAAGAAAGAAAGAAAAAATAAAAGCGCACGATGGTATCAAACGTGAAAACTTGGCATTTCAACTGGTCGCATAATTTTTCCCCGAATACTTGTATTTCAATATTCGTAGAAAGATTCTGTAATATTTGCAACTTACCGGTGTTTACCTACTATGTGAAATATCATCGTTGTGTAGACGAAAGATCGGGAAAAGATATTATAATTGTAAAATTTCCACCTTCAAATTGCATACATAATTTTAAATTGATGGGCACTTCTGATTGAAAATTTCATTGAATTTTCTTCTTATTACACGTAAATAAATCAGTAGAATTTCAATAGTGATTATTGTAGGTAATATCAATGGCTTTGAAATATTGAATGGCTCGAGTTCAATAGTTTCATTATATCTTCATTAGGCCCTCGCGACTGTTACTTTAGTTCACTTTACTGGACATTTTCACTAATTGAAGCGATTTAAGGCGCCATTAATGAACATTAAGAGACGTTTTGAACTTTTGGGCATTGGACGTGAACAGTATCTAGCTTGTAAATATTTTATTTCAGAGTTTTTATCTTATTTTCAATAAAAGTGCCCACACACATGCATTATGTCTTCAGTAAACGTACAAACAAAGTGTGGTGGAGTCAGGTACTTTGTGCCTTAGAATGGAGCAAGAAAGTAAATTAGAGAACTATGTGACTGTTTGAGAGGCAAATTTTACAGAATTCGGCACAAGGAGCACCGAAAAATTCAAAATATTCACTTTTTGAAATTATTTCAAAGTTGAAAGACGATGAACCGCGAAGATGAGAAAAGCGCGGATAAATTTTGCCAACATTGTTGCCTGTTTTAGAAACGATTCATTGCGAACACTTAAGACATTACTTCATGATGCAAATACTTAATAACTTTAAATTTTAACCCGATGATCTGGAGAATACTAGAGGGCGTTTAGTTTTCAACATAAGGTGCGCTTTGCCTATTTCCATGAATATGAAAACTAATATAGGTAATGATGAAGTGCCTGATCTCATGTTCGATATATTCTTTGAATTATACCCTTTTGACATTATTTCATTAATTTTGGATGTATGTTTGGAGTGTTACATGTGATGGGTGTTTTTTTAACGATACTCCTAGAAAATGAGAATCGATTTCAGTTGTGAAAAAAATGATAAATAAACGTAAAACTAAATATTCCTACGAATATCTTGAATAGTTGTGCTTCATTTCCTTATTCATATTGTAAACCCGCTGAATGACAAAAGCTACTTCCTAATTTTTTCAAACAAAGAGTGATGGGTTGACCTACATCATCATGATATACATATTTAAGTACATGTATCAAGCTGGGAAGTGTCGAATAAAGTAACAGACACTTTTTCCTTGATCCTTGCTGCAATCCACATGCGGATAAAATATGATTATTAAGTGCAGAATGAATTTGAAATTCGTCCCATTCCAAAATGTGGAAAATTTATATAAAAACACTCCAAATTTAAACAAAATAAAAATAAAATAGGAGCGGAAAAAAGCGCCGTTTGGCCATCGATTTGGTGACTTAACTGCCTCCGCAGATAAGTCTGCATTCCGAGGATGTAAAGTTACCGGCGTAGACAGTCAAATGGACGTATTTCTGTCAAACGGAACTAAGCGCCAATTTGAGTTCCTTTTGAGGAATTTAGAATCGCGGATAGCGCGTCCTGTCAAACGGAACTAAGCGCCATGGAAAAGCGTTGCGAGTATAGGACGGAACGAGCTAGACGCCCGTTTCCGCCGCCAATCCAAGCCCCCCTCTACCTTCCTCCCCCTATGGCGCTTAGATCCGTTTGATAGAAATACGTCCAAATGGAGATGTTGCATGTGTGAGGGATTTGCGATTTGACCATCGATTCTCATGTAAAAGTTCGCGAGAAACACGATGGTGCCACTGGTTTTCTCTGAAATCAACTCCCAAGCTCAGAAAAAGCTCTCAAAGTGAGGCCAAAATGGAGGGGATATCCCACCCTACCCTAAGAGTCCACCTCTACATCAAGACAAACTCTCCATGCAAAGATAGGGAGCAAATTCATTGACAGGGCTGCCACTTTATTTGGGGACTCCAAAACTGAAAACACGGCATCACTGCTAATGTATTTGCTCCCTATCTTCGCATGGAGAGTTTGTCATGATGTAGAGGTGGACTCTCAGGGTAGGGTGGGATATCTCCTCCATTTTGGGCTCAATTTGAGAGCTTTTTTTGAGGTTGGGAGTTGATTTTAGAGAAAACCAGTGGCACCATCGTGTTTCTCGCGAACTTTTACATAAGAAGCAATGGTCAAATCACAAATCCCTCACACATGCAACATCACCATTAGCATCTAGGGATGACCAGACACATTTTTGAATGCTAACTTTAGAATCTCATTTTTTTTCAATGCGGAAGTCGCTAATATATTGGTAGTTGAAAACAGGTGGGAGTTCGTCATCTTCATCCCGATCCAAGAAGAAGAAACGATCCTCATCGAGCAAGAGTCGGAGTCGTTCATCAGAGCAGAGAGCTCGCAAGCAAAGGCCGATCTTCCCTCTGCGGAACCAGAACCTCGATTTCGGTCCCAACCCCAACTTCCTCCAGAGGAAAAAGCGTGAAGAGGACGACGACGATGACTACGACGATGATGACGAGGAGGAGGAAAGAAGGCGCGAATTGTTGCGTAGAGCAGAAATGGAACGCCAGAGACAGGCCGCTCTCTTTAACCAAAATCGACCTAATCAGCCTGACTTCGACAGGGATCGCTTCGAGCGGGAGCAAGCTCTTCTTAGAAATCGACCGCGGCAGGAGGAAGCGGTCCCACAGGAGGTTGGTACAGTTTTCAAATTAAATTAAACCAGTTAAGAAGAGCTAAAGACCCTTTATACCGAGAGTAAAGACATCGTCAATCCATTTCTGATTGGTTCCCGTATTTTGGGCCATCACAGTGTCACAAACGGGAACAAAGATTGTATTTTCACCAATTGCAAAGATTATATACTGAAATGGATAGAACGGGGGGGAACGGCAAGCGGCAAATGGAATGAGAAAGGGAACGGAGATCGGAATTCCGCTGCCGCGCTGCGCTGACCGCAATGGGTTAGGCGCAATTCGTAAAGTATTCCTATAGTCTTGTAGGTGCTTTGCGTTTCACGCCAACCGCTGCTGACCGCACTGTGTTTAACGCAATGCGTGAAGTATTCATGCAGTTTTGTAGGCGCTATGCGTTTCACGCTAACCGCACTGTGTTTGACGCAATGCGTGAAGTATTCATGCAGTCTTGTGCACTGATATGTGTTACATGCCGACCGCCGCGCCGCCGCGCCGAGGGTTTCTCCTTTTCATCTCAAGTCCTCGTCATCTTTGCTCTCTGCGCCGCGCCGTTCCAGACGAAATTGCGTGTTTGGTTTCTCTCTTAACTCGACTAATTAAAGGTGCTGTGTCTTGTATCACCGAAAGAGGAAAAAATCAGAAATTACTATACTCTCAGGGCATGAGAGATTTTGTCACCTTTTCTCGTTTGTAATTTTTTTCTGAATCCGATTTCTTTTCATACTTATATTTAAAAAAATTGCAAAATTTGCCGCCCCCTAAATTTGCCGCCATGGGCCGCGGCCCTTGTGGCCATCCCCTAGATCCGGTTCTGGCTAAGCGCCTCTCTAATACACTGAAAAAAAAGTGGAAGTGGGATTGACCATAATGGTATAGTAAAAAAAAATATGGTGATAAAAAGCCAAATAATGGTCGATTTAAGCATCTAGATGAAAGTGAGAATCATACTCGATATAAAAATTACCATACCCGGATTGTAAATATCAGTTAGGTGTGTCTGTCCATCGTTTAGGTATTTCTCACCATCAGCTGGGTATTTTTTACCATACGATGAGTTAAAAGTATGGAATAACATGGTAACACTTGCGTTTGATATCTGTAGGCATCTGTATGCGACTGGTCATGGTGTTGGTAGGTTAAATTTACCATACTGGTATAGTCAGCGTGGTGAGAGCTCCCGCTTGACTGCGCTGCGGTCTGTGGTCCGCCATTTTTCGTTTGTCTGTTTGTCAGTTATAAATTTATCACGTTGAGGGTCGGAGTCCGTGGCTGTGTTTTATTGATCCATATTAATCCATGTGAATCCACGCGTAATTTGCCCAAATTTGTGTTCGAATTGTCCCTAAAGCTACCGTCTTCTCTTCGAATCTATCTATATTGATCTGCCACATACATTTTCTGAGATTTTTTCGTTATTCGTATCGACCAATTTCTGGAGGTTAGGAGTTGCTACAATGAATCTGGCTTGCAAAGTGAAGGAATCCTGAAAATTTGAAAACCTTCGCAAAGTTGTTCTGCAATCCAGTGAATATGCAAATCCGGTTCTGTGTAAAGTCATTTCGAAAACATAAAAGTGCGGAAGTAATTTGAAAATAATCGACTAGAAGTGATTTTTGAATACTTCGTTCGTAGGTATATCTATATTCTTGTTAAAATTTTCGAAGCTCAACATACTCAGATGAAGAGACAAATGTGCGTGGGATTGATGTTTAACTGTAACTTTAAGCAAAATTTGGCAGCTTCTGCCCCACCGTGAACCGTGCGATTGGATTTTCATGTAGTGTCTTTTTGTGGGTATATTTTGAACTATCTATTTATTATATGCAATTAAATTTTCCGTGGATCTGATTTAGTCTGTAAATGATACCTTAACGCGAATAACAAGTATGGTTTTGGTATCATTTACTTGAAATCAGTGAAGCAATTATCTGCTATTTCTCGTTGAAACTGTCTTTAACTGCCATTGATTGTGTATGTAACGGAATTTCTAAAAGTAAGATGTAAGTAAAATATCCACGACTTTCATCAAAAGCATTTAATAATATAAGATGAGTGGATTTTAGAATCTACAAGGTTTGTCGCAGCATCTGGATGCTTGAAATTACCATACTAGTCAGTCGGGAACGCCACACTGGCACTGTGTCGCATAGTGTCAGCCGTATCATGTTATTTACCATACTGGTATATTGGTAACTATGCTGCAGCTTCACTGTGTAAAAAATCAAGTAGACAGTATGGTAAATAACACCCAAACTCTGGTAAATCCCACCGATTATTTTTTTCAGTGTAGGAACATATAAGAGCTTTGCCGCTTGTTTAGACTCACGCCAGTCCAACAGAAACTGCTTCAGTCAGCTCACGTAATGCTAGAAAGGCCCAAGTTACACGATCAAATTAAGCCATCAAATTGGGCCTCTCATTGGTCGCATCCTCACCTCAGGTCTTTTTCCACCAATCAGAGCTTCAGTTTGATGGCTCAATTTGATCGTGTAACTGAACCTGAACGGTGCATCCGAACGGTCCCTAATTTACAGCGGAGTCCACGTCTTTGATATTATCTATCGACAAAATGAGGGATTTTTTTTTAAATGAAGCGATCTGTCCATACTCTCGCTATCCAAGTACTCTAGAGCCACTTTTAGAAGCTCGAAGTGATGTATAAACCGAGTTAAAGCTCCGAAAGTTTCTAAAGGTCCAGTTACACGATCAAATTAAGCCATCAAATTGGGCCTCTCATTGGTCGCATCCTCACCTCAGGTCTTTTTTCACCAATCAGAGCTTCAGTTTGATGGCTCAATTTGATCGAGTAACTGAACCTGAACGGTGCATCCGAAAGATCCCTGATTTACAGAGGAGTCCACGTCTTTGATGTTATATATCGACAAAATTAGAGATTTGGTTTTAAAAAATAAAACCTTCCGGCTAATAGATGAAGTTTTGACTATTGACACGTATTATTTCAGTAATACACGATGTTGATTATGCATTACAGTTGCTCGACCTTATTCAGCCTGCATTTCGGCAAGAGCCTCGACGGGAATTCACACGATTTGAGCAACGTTCGCCAGAAAGACGAAGAATTCAGGTGCCGGTTACGAGGACCAATGGCGAACCACTGCAGGGCCTACAAGACCCGCCAGGGCAGCTCCTCAGAAAACCGCCCAGAATGATGACGGCGTCGGGCAACCCGGAGGATTTAGCCCGAAGTATGTTGGATTTTTGAAGGATCGCATATTGCGTCTATTAATCTATTTAGTAAGTTGGATGATTAGGCCAATGGATGCGGATTTTTCAAAAGATGTTTATTTTATTAAATTCATTTCAGCCCGATGAGCCGTCTGTAGCAGTGGTGACAGTGGGCCTGCTGTTGCAAACTTCAGCTAGAGCGAAAAGAAGAGTTGTCTCTCACAGAAAATGACTCAAAAATCACGGTGAGCACACAATCTGCGGAAGCAATATGCGTTCTTTAAGCTTCCCGCTTCAAAATCGTTTTTACTGCACAGGTGATTCGTAAGATGAGTCGTTCCATCCAACCCTTATTCATAGAGTGTAATTCAAGTGGAAGATCTGGCGCCACTTTTAAGCATTTTCCAGGTCCCGAATTCCGAGATTCCTGTGCGGCGCCGGGTCCCTTTTTCGATGCATTATCGATTGTTTGCGATACACGGGGACCCGGCCATATACCACGCCGCCATTTTGGATCGAATATGTATCGAAAAAGTGACCGCGCACATCGGGCTAGGAACCCGTAGAGCGGAACATGGCGCCAGCTCTCCCACTTACATTACGACTCTATGTACCTCTACGTTACTAATTACGGATGCTAGGACGTAGTGAGTTTTTGGAATACCGCTCTCTTTTTGGGCCGTAGTATCTTGATTTATTTTGCGAGGAAAGCTCCGTACTTTTGATGGAAACCTGCTATTACTAATATATTAGAGAGCCTTCAGTTTCGTACGATACTGTGCAACACCTCTGGTGTGAAATAGTTGCTTGAAGCGCCGTGGCAGGCGGGCAGCCAGCGCAAAACACGCATTGGCGCCTACAAACCTAACAGGGATACTTCACGCGTTGCGCAATGCGTGAAGTATCCCTGTTAGGTTTGTGGGCGCGAGTGCGTCGCCGCTCCGTCTGACGGAGTCAGCGTTATTCAACTCATGATTTTGAAATGTTTGCACATCCTGTGTGGATTATTATTCTCATTTTAATTATTCTCATTTTAATTGATGAAAAAAAATGTATTAAAGGAAAATATAATGTGTGTTTTGTAAATATTAAGGTGGTTCTGTATCAAACTTAATGATTTCCAAAGCACACGAATTTCTACACAATTTCTTATAGCCTTTTATAATCGATGGCGAAAAAGCAACAGCCAGGCGATAAAGTGTAAAGCCCGGCGATAGGAACTATAGCCCGGCTGCATAATTTTTTATCGCCTCGTATAGCCCGGCCGTATGATTTTCTCCGCATTCTACAGCCAGCTATATGATTTTCTGTAGCCTTCTTTAGCTGGATATAAGAATTCCTATGAAATCGAACAGATAGATTCCGACATATCGCTGTAGACAGATTTCGGACGGACGGACACTCATTTTTTTAAGTATGGTTATTTTGACTCCCGGGACCTTAAAACTTCGAGACATGATGGAATTTCAACTTTTTTTCCCCCTTGGAGGATGACAATACTTCCTCTACCCTATGGTAGCGAGAAAGTGAAAAGCTTTACAGGACTTACCCAGTAAAAGTTTAAAGCCAAGCTTGAGTTTCAACGGCCCTCTCCCTCTGGCGAGCGTTGGTCACGGCCGTTCTTCATTCTAGAGAATCTCATTTGTATGACAGACACGCTGGCGCATCATGCAAGTGCGCACTCATTTAAATCTTCATTTTTGAACAAAAAAGCAATTAATAAAATGAGGTTAGTATGAGTCAGTAATTTAGCTGGTAAAGTTAGTAAGTTTGAAAACGTAATTTCTTTTTTTTTTCTTCGCATGCGGTAATCACGCATTTTTAGGTTTAAGCTTAGAATATATTATTGTAATTCATCAACTGCGTGCTCTTTCAAAAAAAGAAGGACGCGAAAGATCAAATTAAGACGGGTTTTTCTTATGACTTTTTTACTTTACGGCTACACCGAAGAAAATAATAAACTCAGGTTATTCGACGGATTTTGAAGCCTTACAGGTATCAATTATCCATACGATATTTAGAATAGGGGTTTAGATATGCTGATGTTACTTTCTATTCTTGTTTTTCAATTTTGTAATTTTTGTAATAACATAGTTTTACATAATATATATCCTTATCAATATCATAAAAAATTTGTGTAATTTTCATTTTTCTTGTCTTATTTTTATTGCTATGAGATTGTAATATTACTCGAATGAAATATAGTGCGTATAATTTCTGAAGCTTCATCTGCTTCCTCTTCTATCACTTTCTCTCCTCTCTTTTCCTCTCACTCTTCTCTTTCTTTTCTCCTTCATCCTACTTTTAGAATACTCCTTTTTGTCAAATTTTCAAAAGGGCAAATTTTTACCCTGGCAAAAACAAGCATACCGTTTGGGTTTGTATATCTCTAGCTAGAAATCCTATGTTTCCCATTATTTTTTTCAGAAACACCTTCCACAATTGATTTAAAACCTGCAATATTTTCCTTAACGGAGACGAGGTCTCATCGTCCGAGCTAGCACATCGATGGTTGAAGTACGAAACCACGTATCTCTATTCCGGTGTTTTAAAATGTTCTCTCTCATTTTATTTTTTCGAATGGAAGAAAAGTGAAATTTAAAGCTTGTTTAGACAGAATATTCTGTTCACAGAGTGAAAAGATCATGGAAATTTTTGAAAAATTACGTTGACTAGTTCTCCAAAGGGAAAATAAAGTATGACAGAAAGTCTGTCATGTCGCAAACAGAGATACGTAGTTTTGCTCTCAGGCCATTGGCATGTATATGTACCTTAAATTGCTCCCCGCCCTTTAAAATTTTTCAAACATAAAAAGTAATGTTACTTGGATTCAATTGCGTTATAACCTTTGACATTTATGTTCTATTTCAAAGTGTTCTGAAACCCCATGGTCATGAGAGAAAAATCAAATAGACAATCCCGTAAAGAATTATCGTACTAATAAAGTATAGGAGACTATGAATCTTGACATTGTTTAAATAAGCGCCTTGCCCGCTATGTATTTATTTTGGTGTGCATGTATACAGGTATCTTCCGTTAATGAAGGCGTTCCGCTTGTGGACTTTTCTGACGATATTATTCACTCCGTGTTATATCCTACCCTTTTGATACCTAACACGTGAGTGCAGTGATGTTCGTACGCACAAGTCCAAATAGCTGCCTAAATTGTTCGTCCTCGTAGAGGCAGCAGCTCTAATTCACACAAATATTCAGACAATTTTTATGGATAAAAAAATATTTTAATGAAATAAATTAAAATAGAAGAATTTAAAAGACACAAAAACAAGGTGTGAATACAAAAAATCAACAAGAAAAAAAATTAAAATTACACGAGAGAACGTAAATTGAAATAAAATCACTCAAAATAATTTAAATATTAAGACTAATACAATATTCAAACAAAACAATCACGGAGAAGGAGATACTGCTAACACAAGGAGTTGTTTAATGTTAAAATATGCTTCAGTTATTAGAGCACGAATCGATGGACCAAGAAAATAACTCCATAAATTAAATAATAAATAACGAACGACATCGAAAAAATTAACAAGACGCAAAACCTATTCTCTGGGTGAGATAAGATAAACTCAGACTCAGAATAGATTGACAAATCTAAAAATTGTTTATTTGATAGAGTAGGTATGAATAATGGCAAAGTATAAAAATATGAAATTAGAAATATAAGAAAAATCGGCTTTTATCGTTTAGAAAAATAATACGATATTATTCTCTTCTATCTTCTAGAGAGAATATGAGTTTCCTGATTGAGGCATTTCCATCTCGTTCGTGAAATTGTCCAGGAAATTACGACATAATCGCTAGGACAATCTTTTCTTGGGAGCTGAATATTGTCTTTCTCTTGTTTGTCTTTTTTTAAATTCATTACTCGTGCAAACTAATGTTATTGATATGTGTGCAACCTATTCATCAAGCCCAAAATAATGTAAAGCTAAAAAAAATATTTAGAAATAATTAAAATAAAACATAATGAATGGAGAACAGTAATTTTCAAAATTTGATAGTTTTTGATTTTAGCGTTTGAGTGATCAATAAATGGCTTTTAATCAGTCCTTCATAATCTACATATTTGGTACTTAGGGGACCGTCAGCGGCGTTAAAGAATGCTTACAATTGGACTGCATTTTGTAATTTGGAACTATAAATTCTGGCCCATCTGAAAAAACACTTATGTGCATAGAGAAACTAATGGCACATATGTTGTGTTTAAAACCGGCCTGAGTTTATAGTTCCAAATTGCAAAATCCAGTCCAATTAGAGATCTTGGATCAATTGTATAAAAACTGATCAATATAAATCTCCATTTTAAAGAAATCGACCACAATAAGTATGTATCAAAGCATAAGTACTTCTTGATAAGCAAATTTTCATTTGGCACGTTCGCATTAGCTATTTTCAATATTTCTATGCCTCCAGTTTCCTGATCTTGAACATGGTTCCACTATTGGGGACATAAGCTGCAACAGAACATTACCATACCATAATTTAGTTGATGCATTACATTCATTTTATAACTTTTTAAAAAAATAAACGTATTGCTGATGCGTTATCGAAGTAAACTGTTTGGGACTGTTTCGAAACGGCATGCCCCGATACCATACGGTCTACTTTGGTATTAACTCCATTAACATTGCTCAAGGCGGCGAATTTTTGCAGAAAAAATGCCCAAAATTTTCATCGGATCCTCAAAAATCTTGGAAGTCGCGTTGGGGTTGTTGAAATGCGTTAAATAAAGAGAAGGATCTTCATTCAGAGAATTAGGAGCAGTTCTCAATTCGCTGTTATTGAAGAAATTTGAATGGTTCCTCACCCACAAATGGACCAAAATGGGAATCTTTCATGGATAGGGCTTAGAAAACTGAGCTATAAATTGTAATATACATTTTAATAGAGGGAGATCAAGAATGACCTTCAAATTTTCACCAACTTTTTATTTCGAGATCAAAGCTATGTAAGGCCACAATTTTGAATCGCCGATATGCAAGAACTTCAAGTTTTTACGAGAGCACTTATGCCTTCCTTATTTTTCCGACTTGTGGCAAAAATCGATGGGAGTCAATCGTCCACGCCAAAAATAAAATGAAGATATTCCGTGTGTTTAAAGCACTATACTTTTTTGCACGGCCTTTGCCATATGCTAAATTCTCAGAAAGAGACTAAGAGTATTAACGGAAATGTACGTAATTTTTGATGGCCAAAGTGTGAAACCACGTACCTATCTCCCTTGCGACGTCTCAAAATTACCGTTCCCATTTTATTTTTTCGAAGAAAAGCTGCCAATTTTACAGCTTGACTTTTATACCGAATATTCTTTAAGAGAGAATAAAAATGAAGGATGTTTTCAAGAATTACGTTGACTGGTTTCCCACGAAATAAAGTCTGACAAGAAGTCTGCAACGTCAGACGAAGATATATGGTTTTCGCATGCATTTTGGCCATCTGTTTGTATTTTAATAATCTGATGAGTTCAGAATGCAGAATGTAAAAGTGCATGCCACAGTTCAAGAACAATTTCTACCTCTTATGCAGCCAATATCTCAATGAATGAATGAATGAATGAATGAATGAATGAATGAATGAATGAATGAATGAATGAATGAATGAATGAATGAATGAATGAATGAATGAATGAATGAATGAATGAATGAATGAATGAGCCTAATTCTGTAAGTTTTCTGACCTGAGATTATCGAAATTCCATTCAAAGAGTATTTGTATTAAGTGTGTCTATTTACCGCCAAAATATTCGTTGTGCGGAGAATTTATAAAAGAAGATTACCTGAATTGTGTAGATTTTCTAACGTCTTGAGGGTTTTCAAATATCCGTTGTACGACCAAAGTTATCAGGATTAAAGTAATTCCTAAGAATAGAACCATGGCAGCGCCGTACCTTCCATTTTCAAAAATGTACAATGCTAATTTTACTTCTTCTGCTAATTCCTCAGTAATTGTCGCCTTATTTTCAAACCAGATCATTGGAAAAAATATTGATGGAACCTTCTCGAACAACCTAATTAGGAAATGAAGTACAATAATAATATTGTTAAGAAGAACATACCAAAGAAAATATATTTATTCTTTAAAAGAGAAAACCAGATAAATTATTATTTTTTATGTTTCATGCGTGCTGCATAGCTGTCCACGCATAATTATTTAGTTCAATATTGATATGGACAGCGCCCGTTGCAGATCTCTCTCGCACCTACAGCCCAAGAAAAAACGCGACAAGACTTTTTCCCTAAACAATCTTAGAATTTGATTATTTGGAGCGCCTATCCAACCGATTTAAATAAAATTTGTACTTCTCGACAGCAAACCAGAATTTTTGATCGAACCTTCAAATGTCGACAGACAAAGCATATGACTTAATGCGAAGGTACGTGTTGGCTTCACTATTTTGTATTTTTCCTCCCGAAGGATCAACGATTTTCGCTTAAATCTTCTTAATTTGAAACGCAACTCTGTATCTTTATATGCTGTTTTCAGTTTTTTCATCTAGTATGCAATACAATTTTGTTTCTTCCAAAATGAAAAAAACAATAAAAAAAATTTAGAAATGTTCAACCAAGTTTTAAATTTTTTTTCCAAAATGAAAAAACAATAAACAAATTTAGAAATGTTCAACCAAGTTTTAAATTTATCAGTGGGCCATCTAAACTTTCTTATCAGTGCCTACGTTAGGTCCACCTTAAACACGAGGGCCATCCAAAACTTAATGTTCCCTGCCTTGTATTTTCCGAACGAAAAGAGATAAATGGAATCGGTAATAAATCGTACATTGAGACATACTTCAAGTAGACTCTAAGTAGACATTACTTCACTTTTTGACGTTCTCTCCATTTCTATGTTGAAATTTCTGGTGTCCACATACTAGCTTCTTGATGTCTTCCGCATAGAAGCTCTTATCTTGGTACCGAAACCACTCATTGACAGCGCTATCACTTCCGAATGATATGGTTTGCATTAGGAGATTTTCCTCCATCCTCCATTTTCCATTAATTTAGCATTATGTGACTTTCATCTGTTCCCTGAGCTGAAAAACTTCCACAGTAGAAAACAGTTACCAACTGATTGGTTTTGATTTTTGATCTTTAACCGATTTTAGTTATCTTTTTCCATTCGGAAGATATAAGGAAGGGAACTTTACTTATGTATGAACCTCGTATTAATGACTTATGTTACTTACATTACTGAAGGATTGGCTGTTAGTAGAATGTTGATTTGCAGTCTAGCTTTTACTTCTAGAGGAACTCCAGTTGTCTGAAATGTAAGCAAAGTTAATGCATTATTGTGGAGGCTAGTGAAAAATTCATACTTCAAATAAATATGTGAGATACTTTAAAGAAAAATAACCCATACTTCGAAAATTGATACAAATTTCCATCGCAAAAGCATTAATCCACGGAAAAATGTTTAAAATGAAAGAAGGACATCGAGGGGACAAGGGGGTCTCAGATGGAAAATGTTAACTTGAGTCACCTCAAGAGCGATTTTGAGCGATTCTTACCTCCTCGTTTATTGCGACACAATTTTGAAAATGGAGTATATGTACTCCATGTACTTTCATATGCGTGCATGGCATAATTACATCGATATCTTATGTGCGAAACCACGTATCTCCGATTGAGACGTTGGACACTTCCTGCCATACTTTATTTTTTCATTGGAAAACTAGTCGACTTAATCTCTTGAAAACTTTTTTGATTTTTCTTCTCATGCAATTCACATAAAATTATGTTAAAATGTCAAGCCACATTGTTTCGCTTTGAAAAAAACAAATCAGAACCAGGGACTTTGAAGTACCACAATGGAAATAAGTGTGGCTTCGCACTTCAGCTATCGATGTGTCATGCACGCACATATTTAGCGGAATCCCACTCATTCTCTACTGGGGTCCAGGTGGATGAATCGAAGAGGGCCGCCCCCCACTTTCCACGCATAGACAGATAAGTGCAATCTATTGCTCCTTGGGTACAAGTCTGGAGCCTTTCATCCGATGGGTATTAATTTGACCAATAGTTCTTTGATGATATTCAGAAAAACAATTCGGTGCCTTCTGCAGTCATATTTGGGGACCGACCCAAGTCTAACCAGTGAATTAATTCGCTAATTTGGTATAGATTATCCTCATAGGAAGAGCACGGATATGTCGAAATATGGAGTTCTCGGGGCCCAGAAGGACAACCAACCTTTGAAAACGAAAAATGTCACTGCCGATATTCAGATTCCAATATCAGACCAGAATGGCCAAGAATGTCTGTAAATGAGCGTTCTTCGCAAAAATGAGTAAATTTATGCAAAAAGTAAGTCAAGCACGTATTTTACCAACAACGGGTCGTAACAATAAATTGTAATAATAAATCACTGTGAATAATTCGAGTTCATAGATTGGCTTCCTTTTGGGGCCCTAGGAACTCCATCTCCTAACCTCAAAATTACCGACACGTCTGTACTCTCCATAGAGTACAGAGAGTCGTAATGTAAATGGGGGAGCTGGCGCCATGTTCTGCTCAACGAGTTCCGAGCCCGGTGTGCGCCGAGTTTGGGTCACTTTTTCGATACGTGTTCGATCCAAAATGGCGGCGTCGAATACGTGGTGATTCCTATCTTCTTTGTTTACATCGGATGGCCGAGTACCCGTGTATCGCAAACAATCGATCATGTATCGAAAAAGTGGCCCGGCGTCACACAGGAGTCTCGGAATTCGGGACCTGGAAAATGCTTAAAAGTGGCGCCAGCTCTTCCAGTTACATTACGACTCTATGTGCTCTATGGTACTCTCCCCATATAGGTACTCTAATTTGGTATGAATAAGTTCTCCAACTCGCCTTCACTTACCGGTTCAAAGGTCATCTGAAATTGATGCAAGTCTTTATCGGGGCGCATGCCGCGGATGTCCTCTCGATAGACGGGGTCCGCGAGGTAGAAATGGGGATAGGAAATGAAGGCTGGCACTCCATATCGGCATGAGGTGGCGTTAGAGAGCCCTTGAGGAACGCACTCGCCATCGCAAAGACACTCGTTGGCAGCGTCGTGGGTTCCATTGTCGACCATGTCCAGCCCGCCCACGAATCGATAGCCCTCCATCCCTGAGTGCTCCACCGTTCGCTCATACTCCAGAATCACCGACCTGAATCCAAGTTCAAACAAAGCAAGGGTAACGATAGAGTCCCTTCATATTGAGAGTAAAGACAATGTGAATCCATTTCTGATTGGTTCCCGTATTTTAGGTCTTCTCAGTGCCACAAACGGGAATAAACAGAATTGGTGTCAAAGTTTTAATTTAACGAAGATAAAAGCTTTTAAAGTTTCCAAATTGTGTCCAATCTCTCCCTTTGACTCGATCCAGTTAGCGGTGTCGTCGGCACTGACGTCATCGCGGCGTTTTATACTTCCCCATCATTCATACGGACCTCAACTAACGAGCGCACTTCTTACCCCTTCTTTTTGTCCTTTTAGCACAAATATGTCCATATCTCTGAGGAACGAACGGCATTTCATTAGTTTTAAGCTATTTCTGAAACTTACCTACACATGTCAGGTGAGAAGAGGGTGATTTTGGTTTGCTGCATGTCCGGAGGGAACAATTCTCCGCCCGAGCCCCTCAGCTCACCGCACTCTCCAGAGTAGTAATCCGTTCGACTCGCATAATTCCAATTTCGGATCCGTCCAAAATCCTCGATATCTTCGCTCCCTACGTCAATATTAAAGTAACCATCAAATTCAGCTGATCCATTTCTCTATAGCCCCAAGAATTTAAAATAAGCGTATGAGTCAATTTATTTTGGCCTTTTTTCCAACACTATAGGCAAACAAAAAAATATTGAGAGATATTATAAAACATCAAATAATGCAAAAATGCATTTAGCTTGGAATTACTTCCAACAACTAACTTCTCGTCGTTCTATCCGTGTTACAACGATTTTTTTGAACAGTAGAAAGAAAATTCTGAGGGCGAAAAGTGTCAAGTCCCGTGATAGAAACAACTAATAATGGACCAGTAGACAAGGCACGAATTTCAGCATTCTGATACACGTCTCATAACCAAAATTTCACGTAGAACACGATGCGTACAACGAAAATTACCAAAATCAACTCCTTCCGAAGATATTTAATGATTCTTGATGCATGAATTCAAACCACCCGCTCATGAAACTCAATGCTCTACGTGACTCACATCGCGCGCTAAACGTTATCATCACAGTCTCTGCGATATACAAATCTGGCAACCTCAATCTTGACCCTTTGGCTCAGCTATAGCAAGTTGTCTATAATTTGAACAACACATTGTGGGAAATGAACATTGCTCTATTGAAAAGCTTGCTGAAACTGTTGTAATGCACGATTTGACTGACGTATAGAGCTTTGAGTTTCTTATGAGTGGGCAGTTCAAATCCCTCGTAACCAATGTGAAAAAAAAAACGTTAATATCTTTGTTAGGAGTTAATTTCGGTAATTTTAGTTGTGCGAATCGTGTTTTACGTGAAATTCTGGTCAAGAAACATGTATCAGAATGCTTAAATTCGTACCTTGTCCAGTAGTTCATTGCGGATTTTCTACAATTTCTGTGCTAAAATTTTACAGAAACTAACTCGGGTAGAATCATTGATATTATTCTATGAAATATGGAAAGGTTTTTACTTTAAATAAAATGTATTTGATCACATTTATGTTGCAAGTTATTATTCATTAGCAATCGCCTACGATTTGTATGACGCGTTTAATGAGGAGATAAACATAGAAGTCAGCATTAAATACGAAATATGAATAAATTACCAATTATTTTGCCATGACTCGTAAAATATTATTTTATCTCCTTGTATGTGTGGTTGTACAGTTAGTACAGTCTTTAACTCAGGTGTGCATGCAGTGACATTAGGGGGTTTAACTCGCCATAGAATGAATGAATTTTGGATGTTGAAAAACATAAATATGTGATGTAGTTTTCGTAAAAACAAAGAGCCTTTAAAAATATTGATACTTTAAGGGTCACTAAATAATTCACTAAAACTCTCTACAACTCTTTGGTGTAACAGGACTTATTATCTTTCAAGAAATTCCCACCTTGTTATGCCTGATCTGGATAAAACTCTATTTTTGCCTTTGTTAAAGGCTCTTAGAGTTTTCCTGTGTACGATAAGTATCTTGATTTATTTTGCGAGGAAAGATCTGTACTTTTAAAGGATGCCTGTCATTTTTGATACGTTCAATTTCGTATAATACTGTGCAACACCTCTGTTGTGAAATAGTTGCTTCAGGCGCCGCCGCACGGCGCGGCGGGTGGGGGTGGGCGGCCAGCGCGAGACGCGCATTGGCGCCTACAAACCTACGTGGATACTTCAAGCATTGTGCAATGCGTGAAGTATCCACTTAGGTTTGTAGGCGCCGGTGAGCCTCTCGCGCAGGCAGCACGCCGCTCCGCTCTGTTCGGCTTTAATATTTATACTCGCATAGTCAGCGTTTCTTCACTCATGATTTTGAAATGTTAGCACACTCTGCATTGATTATTCTCATTTAAATTGATGGGGGAAAAATATGTATCAAGTATCAAAGAAGAATAATAATAGAATGTGTGTTTTTTAAATATTGGTGGTTCCGTATCAAATTGAATGATTTCCAAAGCACTTTAATTTTTTCTTTTACACTTTGTGCTTTTATTGTGCTGCAGCTAGGTGTACGCGCAACCAAACGGTCAAAATTAGACGTCTTTGACTCTAAAAGATCGATGTACAATTGGGTTAAAACAATTTCAATTGCTCCTGAGATAAACAATTTCATGAGAAAGCCGATAAAAACACTTTTGAAGCCTCAACGTTTTGTATGAATGGTGTTATGAGCTTTTAAAGTTTTCAAATTTTGTCGGATCTTCTCCACTGACTAGATCCATTGTGCGTCGATGAAAAAATCGCGTTTTTACCAAGGTATTGATGTGAACATCGTGGGATCATTAATGTATTCATCAACTGCTGGCAAAGAGCCTCCCTAAAAAAGGGCCTTTTTTGGCCCCTTTTCGGGAACCCGGGGATTTCGTTCGTTTGTGGCTTAAATGAAACCTTATGATGAGGTAAGCCTCCAGTAAAAATTTTAGCTTGAGTATATGTCTAGTTTCCGAGATACAGCGTTGCAAAGTTGGCATATTTGAGCTTTAAGATTCTCATATTCTCAGGTATCTTATTTTCTCAGAACGATTCAATTGGATGTTTTATGATATTTTGTGACATTTTATCAAATGTTAGTATTATTATCGAATGCATATTTCAATTGAAACATTAATACTACTAATTCTGTTAAAACAACGTTGCAAAGTTGACATAAAAACCTATAAAAAATGTTCGTTTTATCAAGTTTCTTGAGTTAAAAACGAACTTAGTGACGGCTAAAAGATATGCTTTTGGGGTTTAGATGCAATTTTATGATAGACTAAGGCTTTTGTTAAAATTTAACTCAAAATGCAAGTATAGTTTTAATGATACAGGGTTGCAAAGTTTATATATTTGAGCTTTAAAAATGTCTATATTTTTGAGTTCTGTGTTTAAGAAGCTACTTTTGTAGAATTTAATCACGATTTGAGGCAGGAAATCAACCATTTATGTCATCTGTAGATGAATGTTTGTATTTGAAGAAGAATTCTTTGACCGGTGGTGATACAGCGTTGCCATGCTTAAAACTTTGAACTCTGTATGGATTATGATTTTTTCTTGTTGAACATGACTTCAATCGGTATCTTAACTCGTATAAGGCAAAATATCAAGGGCTGATTTCAGTCCCAGGTAACGATTGGTTTTGAAAAAAATACTGCTGCCAAGTTTATTCATAATTCTTTTCAAACAAAAAATAATAAAATGATTTTAAAATAAAGATGCTTCTAATTTAATTTTTTTACTTTTTTTTATTTTGTTTAATTTTTTTTGGTAATTTGTTTAGACTTTTGTGATTTTTTTATATTTATTTATGAATATCCGTGAAAATATTTTTTTCGATTGATACGTGAGTATAGTCTTGCCTTCAAATATATAGCAAGTACCTCAACATGTTGCCGATTTTTTACTTTTACCAAGTATCTCAATTATTTTGAGGCATCTAGATCAAAGATATGTTTTCAACATGCTCTATACATATATGAGCTTGTTATGATTGGCACTGCCAAGACACTGCACCGTTGCGTATTGAGAAAATGCAACTTTTTTCCAGATATATTTCACTGGGAGATGGATGTATTTTTTATCAGAATGGAGGGGTCAGCGAATGCTACCAAGAATTTACATCCAGTGCCGAGATCATAATGTGAATGCTTAAATCCATTTTGAAATACAAGTATGAAACATGACAATAGCCTGGTCCTATTCTCTTCGGAATGCTGTCACTGTGACACAGAGGTCTTAATACTATGAGGACAACCCTCAACAAAAATGGAACTTTAACAACTTATTAATGAAAAAATAGTTAGTAGCTATGCCGAAATAATAATTTTTGACAAATCCATGCAACAATATTTTAATAATTTTAAGTATTTTATTCTTTTAATTTCTTTTTCTATAGATTTATTTATTTAATTTTTTTTTTTTTAATTTTCTCATCATTTGTAATTCTTAAGTCGAAGATATTCTATTCTTTAAGGAACAATGAATGTATTGTCTGTATCAAGATTTATTTGTACTCAAAAAACTGGAGCGTTTCCATTGTTTATGTTCATTTTTGCATTCTGCCTAAAAAAAAGTAAAATTGACAACCAAGGCAAGGTAGAATTTTTTAGATTTTGAAAGCAACACTGATGCTGACCCATTCATTGTATGCCATAAATTCACTTGGATTACGTTTTAAAATCAGACAATTATTGGAAGTATCCTTATTTTAAACTTATTTTATAATGGAATGTTAATAGAAACTTAAATAAAATTGGCAACAGTGCCATTTTAATTCCAATTTTCACCTAGGATTGACAAAAGTCCTCCACATTTCTTTGTTTCACAATATCACTTATCAACATTGTTCAATCTTGTCTTCAATAAAATAACACAAAATAGACATTTTCCCAGATACAAGTTGAAAACTTTGCAACACTGTATTATCGTATCCTTTAATAAATTAAACTATGCATCTACGAGTATCACTAATTGTTGATTCTATGCCCCAAAATACAGTTCGATCTTCAGTAATAGCGGTTTGTGAATGAGAAACTTTAAAAAAGGGGCTTTTTAAAGCTGAAAAATGTAAACTTAGCAACGTTGTACTGCCAAAACAAGGCTTACGCATGAGTCAAAATTCTTACTGGAGACTTTTCATATTATAATTATTCGTGTGCACCTCGTGTAAGTATTGTAAAGTCATTTTTGAAGTTGGTTTTTGGAAGAAAATCCATAAAAATATGAGAATTTTAAAGCTCAAATATGCCAACTTTGCAACGCTGTATCTCGGAAACAAGACATATACTCAAGCTAGAATTTTTACTGGAGGCTTGTCTCATCATAAGGTTTCATTTAAGCCACATACGAATGAAATCCCCGGGTTCCCGAAAAGGGGCCATTTTTAGGGAGGCTCTTTGCATTATTTCCTTCATATTGATTTGGAAAACCCGTAATTTTTAAATTTGATTCCACAGAATCGCTGGCAAAATTGCGGATTTTCTGCGACGTTGCGATCATTTTCGTGTAAAACTTCCCTTCTTTTCTCCTCGATAAATGAAAATATCGCTCATTTTCCTCGATTCAGAAAAAAAATAGCAGCGAATCCTGTTAGATTATGGTGTGCACACCGCGATTTTGAGATCAATTTCGTGTGATTTCTCCCTTTTGAACCAGCGGGAATCGAACACGCGACTATTCGAACTCCGGAGTCCGTACGTGATGTCACGCGAAATTGAAGGAAATTCATAGCTTTTCGCCTACCTCACATGGTAATTTAATTTCTTACAAGCGCGTTCAAACGTATCCTGATAGGATGACACACTGAAAAATTTTCCCCGTTTGTCAAAAAAGGCCATTCATCTCTAACTTCTCTCTGTATATGACTGACCGATAGTTTGCAGCATCATAGCTCAGAAAAATAGTGCAATTTTTGAAAACCCCAAAAATGTGTCGTTACGGATAAGTAACACCATGCCATAGAGGTTTAACGGCGGGTTTGGGTCAAACACGCAAGAAAACTGACTGCATGCGTGAAGTATCATGAAGAAATGAAGGCGCTCCAATCTGGGATGAAGTAATTTCCCAATGGAACCTACAATATGCCGACACAATTCGTTGCTTTGTGTCGAAGTGACTCATAAGCCGTTTGCAAATGATCGGCGATTCCTAATTTCCTGCACACTAAAATAGCAAAATTAAGATCTTACCGTGTAGAACCAGCCAAACTTATCGTAAGGGACAGTGATCATGGATGGAAAGTTCATTGCTAGATCGATCAGCTTATCTTCATACCCATCGAATAAGAGCTGCCCTGCTGGTTTTGTCACCGAGATGTTTTGGGAAGTTTGCGACATGGCCGTCGAGAGCGCACTCTGCATCACGTAAGCCCAATTCTTCACCGTGTTTGATGCCGCCTGGAAGTAATCAAATATTAAAAGAGATCAAACTGAAAAGAGGTCAATTATATGATGTATGATCCTGCCATAAAAATTTAAGTATTTTTAGATTTAAAATAGATATTCACATTTTCTGGGCAAAATGAGCTAAGAGGTGTTTCCTCTTTCTCGTTCCGTAGGTACAAACTCACTCGTATAACCCGCTACGATTTACTCAAGGTATTACTCAATTACTCAAGGGAGAGGAGGATAAGTATATTTTTTGATGAGACTTTTCAGACTACAGAGTGATGCTTTTTCAACTAGTTATGCTGGTCAAAAACTATTTTTCACTTGTAGAATTTAGATATTCACTAAAAAAAAAAAAAAAAAAAAAAAATTGAGTGGATAAGAAGCCTCATTAATATCATGAATACGTAGTTTCAAATTTTATTCACAAACTTATCGTAAATCATCCTTACAGATTAAAAACTTCCCCTATATATCGCCAGACTGCGATGCCCTGCTAGGCAATATATTTGACGATTTTTCAAGTTTTGACAGTGATGTTTTGTCTCTCACTTCTTGGAAATTTTTCCACGTACACATGCATAGGTATGAATGAATTAAGATATATTTATTTATATTTAAGTTCTAATTCTAAGACGGCTTTAGAGACAACATTGCGCATCTATTTGAAAGATAAAGTGCTTACCAATGCTACTACATTAAGAGTAGTTATGTTGTCGGTCAATTTTCCTTTGGAATTTTCAGCATCAAAATACCACCACTTCCTCTGTTGATAACTGACCGTGTGGTTTACATTCCACGTGATATTGACCTTTTCCTTAGTCTCTCTGAAATAAAAAGATTATTGTGACATCAAATTTTTAATATTAAATTACAGTAATTTTGGTTTTCCATGGTTGGGATTTATTCAATGTCTCAGTTATCATTTGCTCATTTTTTACAATCTCCGAGCTCTTTATAAATGTAATGAGAGACTTCCTGAAATCACGGAGGATTCGCGATCCATTCGGTAAGTTTCCAAAAGCGCAAACGCCCAAAAGCCCCCTTTTAAGAGCGTGTTTTCAAACGCAACAATTACAGGCTGCCCTTTCTCATTTGGGGCAGGCATGGCAAAGAAAATTAACAAAACTGGGTCTTCAAGTGGAATACCGTGACGCGAAATCTGAAATCGGTGATTGGCTTAAGATGTTTTATGGATTGCCTTTATTACCACCCGAATGGGTTCTTGATGGATACCTGATACTAAATAGCTGTTGTCCAAATGATCCTCGCTAATTTTGCTTGTGATTGCGCTTTTGGGGTGAGTCTCGGCGCTTCCTATCTGCGCTTTTGGACTACACATTTGGGCTTATCGAGGTTTGCGCTTTTGGCCATTTGCACTTTTGGGTGGTGTCCATCCATTCAACTACTCCTGTGTACAAATTCACCAGGAATATGGTGGTACCACAATTTTTGTCTGAAATCAACACGGGAAGATGAAAATCTTTCAAACTTGAAGCCAAAATGTCAAGACAAGGCGTGATAACGGAAGAGCTACTTTTTTCAGGTCCTCCGAGTCGAATCCCTTCAGGGTTGAGGCTTATTTTTGACACTTACTCAAAGCCCTTAGATGGAGGGATATTTTGCTCATATAACGATGGCCAAAGTTCGAAACCACGTATCTCCATTGCGGTGTTAAATGGCTCCACCGGGTTTTCAAATTTCCGCTCCTTTTCTATATTTTCGATAAGGAACAAGCAAACCTTAAAGTTTGAAATCCATAAAGCGTATTTTGCTCAAAGAGGGAAAAAATCAAGAAATTTTCAAAAAATTAAGTCCACTAGTTTTCTAGAAAAAAAAAATAAAGTAAGACAGGAATTATGTAACGGATAGCCGCAACGGTAGTCGCAAACTGAGATACGCGGTTTCGCACTTCAGCCATCGGTAGTCAGTTCCATCTCTTTGGATGAATTTTATTGTTACCGAGTCAGACTATTATATTCGATGGCATCTAAATCTTCACTTTTACTGGCACAATGGCGACAACTTGAGACCTTTTCATGAGTTTTAGACACAAATTTCAGACAAAAAAGCCCGAGACAAAATCGTATCGTTGCAAAATTTCTACCACCCCTGGCTGGGAGTGTTACATAGAGAAAAAAAGGAGGTGTTTGCATTTCGGGCATCTTGGAATTTTTTTGATGACGTAGGTCGGTACAGCGACGTTTATCATAGATTTTCTTGGAAATGGTGTAATTTATGGAAAAAAGTCATTCTATGAAAAGTGCTTGAAATTATATCATGAGTTGATTTAAGGGGAAAAATGGGACATTACGGTCCGTTTTTCATACTTCGAATTCCGGATTTCGCTGGCCAGGTTGTACCGACCTACATATATGTTTACCTATAGGGTAAACAAACCTCAAGGTGCAAACACCTCCTTTTTTCTCTCTATGGGAGTGTTATACCAAGTACCACCCCTCTTATTTGCGAGGCGAAGGTACGAAAAAATGTCAGCTTCCATCGGGAGCTATGCGAAACTCGAATCGATTTGATTTCATGCGGTGGGCTTGATAACTGGTCTCATCCGACAACGAGCTCATCTCGTATGCGACCCGGGCTTTTGTCGGCGGAACCAACAATAGACTTTGATTGATGCCAGCTTTCTGCGGGTCAGATTTAATGGAGGACCTTCATTTAAGTTTTAATTGGATCTTTTTAAAGCGCCCCTGTTTAAATCACTCGTGCGGCCGGCCACCACTGCTAGGTTCCCTCTGACATCGGCGCTTAATAACCGATTTAAAAACTCAGCCTTTGACCCTGCTTATAATCAGTTCTTAGCGGATCTTGATATTTTCCTAACTTTTTCTGAGATGGAATATCAAATCTTCGCTTGGCTGACATAAGGACGTAACTACAATTTGAGATGAGCCTGAGAAAGCACTGAGTTTTATGGACAACATAGGGTTCATCGTCGAGTGTAGTTACGCCCTTTTGTCAGAAAGGCGACGATAAAAATTCACGGCTACATCTCATCAATATTTTTGGCTAATAATGATTGTTGAGGGACAGATTGAGCAGCTTAAACACTTAAATAGAATCTACCCAGCTTCTATCAAATCAACCCAACTGTTCAGTACGTCCAAAACATGTAACTCGTTTAGATTAAGTAATAGATACTCATAGTATTTTGACGGTCAAAGTGCGAAACCTCGTATTCTCCATTTGCGGCGTTGCAAACTTCCTTGCATACTTCATTTTTTCTTTGGGAAACCATCAGTCAACATAATTTCTTGGAAACTGCCTTAATTATTTTTTTCTCTATCAGAAGAATATTCTGCATACATTTCAAGGGTTTTTTTTTTTTTTTTTTTTTTTTTAAATTAAGGAGAAAAATTTTCTCTACAGTGCCGCCCACCAGGAGGAGTTCCGAAACACCAAAAATACCATATAACGACAGTGGTAGCCGGTGAAGGGCCACCAGGGTGACCTCTAATTGGCCAATTTGCCAACGATGTTACTTCAGATCTCAAGCTTTATGGGTGGAATTTTTGAATAGTATCAGTTTTCTTTGGAGACTCGAAGCAGAAGAAGATCAAAACACTTATTTACTTGTATTTATTTGTTTTAAACTCACTTGTGCATAGAATTTGATACATATTCTATTTTGATATCAAATTCTACGCCAAAGTGAAAAAAAAGTCATTTTTTTGGAAATTTTGAAACATCGCAATGGAGGTACATGGTAACCACTATGATTTGGTGATTAAGGTTATGTAAGCATCATTTACTGAATAACAGTCGTAGGATATGCACAGAACTGATACAATCTATGGAATCGTCTCTTATTTCTAAATTGGACATGTACGGAGTCTCCACAAGTCCACACAGTAGATGAAGTTCATTGAAGTATTTCAAAACAAAGGAGCCGCTCTTACACAAAGTGAAACTTAGCCGTCAACCGCAAAAGCCTTGGCGCTCTTATGAAGGACGGACTGAAGCCTCTGGTGTCAGTGCACCTACACATTCGTCTTCGTGAAAGAATTGGACTGAAAATATCAATACTTGAATTGCATTTTGCAAAAAGGAACCACGAGCATTGCAATGTTGCTAAGATTTTGCAACTCCTTTTGTCTTGGGAAAAAACCTGATTATCGATTGACAGTTTCTATTTTAATCGCTGAAAACTGTGAATCTAAGACAAAAATTACCATGTAAATTTCATATTTTTTCATGATTTCAGTTATTTTACTGCGAAGGATGAATTTGCACAATCTTAGCAGCATTGCAATGCTTTTGGTTCCTTTTTGCAAAATGCAATCCACTTAAAGCTCTCTGCATGACTATCTGAATTTTCATTTTTCGTCACAGTTTGTTATATATCGTTCTACAGTACATATATCTATTATTTGCGGCTATCGACAAGCATACGAGTCTGCTTAATTCAGATTTTGGAAACTGAACCGACGGTGACCCGCTAAGCGAACCTCAGAGGGCGCAACACACCCTCCGCTGGGAGTTGGGCCGCGTAGCGGCCAGGGGCACGTAACTAGCTAGTTAAATTATACGTCTCCTTACATGAATCTATAAGGGCCCATTTGAACAAATTCAGGTTTTTTCTCTGGATCAAGAAGTTCGTGCGGATTTGTCCAGTTGAAAAAGTAGAAATCTATATGCATTGGAATTGGCGTGTCTCGCCAAATTGCATATGTGTCTGAAGTTGGTGTCAGCGGCAGTTTCTGTAAAATTTAATAGAAAATTAGCGATGATTTTCGTAATTTCCTATAATTTAGAATTTTCACATTCACTTCATAATATGTACATCATTTTTGCTAAGTTCAGCTCGTACATCCCATTCAACCATCATGTGCATTTTCAAACATTTTGGAATATTATTTTCTTCTGAATATGATGGAATTAAATGTTATTTTCTACTCAATGTGAAGAGATTTTTTTTTAAACGCTCGGAATCTACATTGAGTACGCTGGTACCAGTTGAGCTAAAAACTGATTCTGGCTCAATTCATTGATCTATCTCGTTAGTTCTGTGCTTCTAGTTTTATCGTGGTATTTTATTATCAGTTCTTCCATCTGTTTCATAGTTAAATCTTCTCCTTAAGCTATGCGGTTTCGATTGGGTTTGGGGTGTCAACGGTTTTTTTTTTTTTTTTTGAAGGAATTTTATTTAAATATAACGTAACTGCTACAAGTATTTCCTTGTATATATCTACATGGTTTAAAACTTAAAATAAACAAATTGCATTAATCTTACGTGGTAACGTTAGATAATACGATACCTACCTTCAATGATTGAATCAATTTATTTAGTCAATTGAATCGCGTAATAATTATCCAATTTTTATTAGTTTTAAATAATACTCAAACTCACCTTGCAATAATTGAAATGAAAGGAAGGAAGGAAGGAACCTAGGCTATACCTTCAAAATGAATTTTTTTTATAATGAATAAAAACTCGCACATTTTAAAAATCTGATACCATTTTACCGAGGAGAATCTAAGTAAGGTGCTGATTACATCTGGGGGACAAATATACTATACTACCTCAGCAAAAAGGAACTAGATATTTTATTATTTCAAAACACATTGCAGGATCTTTACCTGGTTCGTCGAACTTTTCTTAAGTGCGTCAATATGAGTCAACACGGGGAAAATGGATTGCGTCACACGATTGGCGTTATAGCTTTCTGCGTCTCTTGCTCACTCTATGTTGCATCTCGTCCTACACTAGCAGATGTGGGGCGCAAAAAAGGCCAAATAACGCCATTTGACCTAATCGTCTGGCGTTTCCTACGTAAACATTTTTTGTCGAGAATTTAACTTCCTCACCTCTTCCCAAATCTAATTTGATGATTTTGATGAATATGGAAAGAAGCCGACCACAACCTTATTTTATTCATTCTGCCGTAAGTAAGAACGCCGTATGAGCCTTCAGGCGTTGCCTAATTTCCATCGTCAAATCATTTTTGAATATTCCTCCTTCGATTTTTTACAGGGTTTTGTTGGTGCTTTGATCCAAAAAGTCTGAAAATTTCAAGGAAAAATTTCATGAACTTCCTCAAAATAAATATTTTAAAAATAAGAAAGTTGGCAACATCCGAATGATCATACGGCGTTTTTGCTTTGCAACGCAGACTTAACGTTCATGTCTAGGTATTCCTTATATACAGAGTGATCCAAAAATTTCGCACTACCCTTTTAACCCTAACGGCTCTTGCACTTTTTCAGGGTGGGGATCCCTTTAAATTTAAGGGGTTCCCAAAAGTAGTTGTATTTGATGCAGGAGCACTCACAAAATTTCAAATATTTTTCTAAATTTGTTTAAAAGATACAGGACTTTGGCTCGATGCTGATAATACCGGATTTCTGGATCACCCTGTGCTTATTATATAGAAGGCTAACTTCAAAATCACATCCATGTGTTTTATGGGCAAAATGTTGAAGGAACCTGCGTACGGCAAGTTGTTGAATGCAAAGCACACATGAAACTCACCAAGCTGATAACGAATTTGCAGATCCATGGCCATAGAATGAATGAGAGAGCTGCCACAACGGAGACAGCGATCCCGGAGCAGAGTGATATGAATTTAACGTCACATTCTTTCGTCATAATTCTGGCTACAACAGAATAAAATCACAGTCTGGAATTCGGTGTCGTGCAACATGTGAGGAGAAAAACCAGATGCCACCTCTTTTTACCTACTGACTGAGTTCTAATCTAAAGGGTACAGGGCATGATGAAAAGTAACTATCGTATGAAATGCCAAAACTTAGGCTAATGGGGCTGTCGCAAAATTTTGCCTTCAATCATCCTTAAAAAGTGAGAATTTTTACGTTTGTCAGTTTCTCATTTCGTCACCTTCCGGCCAGAGTATCACGAGCGCCATGCGACGTTTTAAAATTTCCGCCGCTAACATTATTTTTACAGAGAATTTGTTGGTTGAATCTGATTGAAAATTTCCTTGAATTTTATCGGCAGCACAAGGAAAATTCAGCGAAATTTGCGGACAGCTTTATCGAACAATTTCTCTGTAAAAAAATAAAATGTCGGTGGAAATTTTGAAACGTCGCATGGCGCTTGTGATACTTTGGCCGGAATGTTACCATTTCATCACATTTTGGCGCCACTTGATATAATGTAAAAATTCCTGTATATCATTATTACAAGCAAGGTAAATATCAAATGATTGATCAAACTTTTAATTTTATTTTTAAGGGTTTCACTAAAAGTTTAAGCCTAATTGAAATGGTTCATATTTTAATACACTTATCACTGCAGCATTTCATCAAACTGACATATCTAAAAGCCTGTAAAAGATGGCTATGCTAGAATATTAAAACAGAATACAATTGAATTGACTGTTTAACCTCCTTATTCAACAATTTCTAGCCTGAAGTCAAAAACCCGTAATTGAATAATGAGTGCAACTTGAACAGACTTCGCACCGTACGTGAATCTTGTAGAGTTTGAATTTAACATGTTTTTGGAGTATAATGACACGACGCAAGATAAATGAGGGTAATCTGGTTAAGAATATATGTTTCCCGGTCATTGGCAAACTCTCCTACGGTCAATAATCACATCAAATCAACAGTCAACAAAGCCCCTCAAGTGTTGCGTCACACCAGGTGACTCCCGGCCAAACACATGGCAAATACACCAAAATATACACGTAATTGAGCATTAAATAGGGGAAAAAAGGAATTTTTTCTAAAAATGTGTAGATATAGTGGCAAAATTTGTAAAAATTTTAGTTTGGAAAAGAGAGAACATTCGCCAAGAGAGGGTCCACCGGGAAACTAAAACTCCCACCATGTAGTTATGAAATGTGGTAATGATGTTGCGTCTATCGATGGCCCAAGTGTGAAACCATGTATCTTCATTGCGATGTTTCAAATCTTCCGGTCCTATTCTATTTTTTTGAATGGAAACAAGCCGCTTTTGGAGATTGGCATTCACACAGAATAGTCTGCCAACAGAGTAGAGCAATCAAGGCATTTTTTAAAGAAATTACGTCCATTACTTTTTCCAAAGAAAAATTGGCAGGAGCTCCGCAACATCACAGACGGAGGTACCTACGTGGTTTCGCTCCTTAGTCATCGATATGTTAGGGAGGTGATGTATCGTGAAGGCATGTAAAAAATTATTTTGCGTAGAATTTCTGAAGCAAAATGAAGACTTTGAAGTTAGTGTGACGTAAAAAAGGAAAAAAAGACAAAACATCTGTACTTCTTCATGTAAATTCTTTATGATATAGGTATCTTATAATTGATCATTCTAATAAAGCTTGTCTTGATTGCATAAAAAAGTAGCACTTTTTAAAATACTGAATTAGATGGAATTTTTATTTTAGTTAGAATTTTAAAATAATGAAAAAAACATTAATTTATCTATAACCGCTTAATGAATATTAGGTCCACCACACAGGACTGTTTTTCTAAAAATCTATTATGTAAAGTTATTTTGATTTGTTTGCTTTCTGGATAATGGAGACTCATCGGTTTAGTGAGGGCATAATAGTCACCGTGTACGCGGGTTACGCAAAAATACATTTCCCTATCATATATCCTCCGAATTAAAATATGTAAATTAAATAAACGAAGAGCTCCGTGTTAAGCATATTTTAAGCATTTACAATATTTGGACCGCGTTAAACAGAAAGGAACCAAGCCACATCAGCCATTGCCAAATTCAAATGGGCAATTTAATTTTTACATGAAAACGGTTCTGCGGATTTTCGTGCAAATTTCAGTGAAAAATCTCCATAGTTTGAAGCAAATTCCTGTAAAGTTTCTAAGGAATCCGCACAAACGTTCTCTCGTAAAAAATTTAATTGCCCAGTTAAATTTGGCAATAGCTGATATGGCTTGGTTCCTTTCTGTTAAACTCGGTCCATTTACGATTTTTGAAATCGGTTCAGGAATACACAAGTTAACTGCGAAATCCCTCCGTTGCGGAAAGTTCTCTTGATGTACTCTTGCACCTCCTCGTGAAGTCTAAACCTATTTTAAGAACTTGAGCTTGCCTTGAAGCTGACATCTAGCTTATTTATTCAAATTAGTATATAATCTATATAAAAATTCAATCTAAATAAAATCATATCAAATCTCCTCTTTTTTTGTTGTAGTGACATTAGTGTACTCGCTGATAAAATTGACATTTCTAAGAAGGAGCTATGCTATTCATAAAGCGACAGGTTTCTTATCTGCTCTGAATTTTTGTGACAGAATCTAGGAGTGATGCGAACTATTTTTTCGTACGTAATTAATTCCTTTAAGTCTTGCCCTGAGCAAAGTCAGTGTCAAAACACACATTCATGCTTAAAGCATAACAATAATACCATACTTTCAAAATTTTCTCATCAAATCCCTCCCTTTTTCAAACAACTTAATTTTCAAATTTAATTTATTTTTTCTTTGTCCTTTCTTTTAATTTTTTGTACTCTTCTTTTCGTGATCTCTGCTCTAGGTGTTAATGGCTTAGCTTTGCTAAAACACGTATAAAACAAATAAACAAAAGCAAGTCGGTACCTTCGAGAGGTTATATCCTTGCGCGGAACGGAACAAACCGCACATTTGATTGAAGCGGAGACACTACCGGCGCGGAAGCAGAGTGGACGTTAAATAGACGTATCGTCCAGATCCATCAACTTATTAGTCAAACGTCCCTATGATGCTCAGCTTATCGACTTTCCGACCACGGACATTATGCAATCGTTCCTGCGTTGCCTGCAAGGTTGCCCCTCCCTCCTCCCCTCTGGATCGGCTGGACTCCCTCTGGATTACGATCAAGTCACCCTTATCGCAGGAGGCTCGATAACTGCGAAGGTGTGAGGTATCTGTTTGTTACTCCTTATCGGTCATCAGCACTCAGCACTCAGCAGGTGTCTCTCGATAATAGTCCTCCCATTCCATGTCCTTTAAAAGTTCCGGGATTCGGAACTTTTTTGTTCCAATTTCCCCACTCCATAATCATCACAAGTTCCGGGATTCCTTTCAGATTTTTCAAAAAGTTCCGAGAAAGTTCGGAAAATGCAAAAGATCCGGAACATTTCGGGAAGTTCAAAAGTTCCGGGAAAAATTCAGAAAAATCTCAAAAGCTCCGGAATTTGGAGCTAGTTCCGGGAAATGAGAGCACTGCTCGATAACTGATATTTTCAGTATATCAGCCCTCCCTCTAACAACCACCCGTTTCAACCAATAGGATCACTCCGTACACTACGTCTTCTTTGCCTAACGCTTTGTCTATTAATTTCAATAATCAGTCCGCCAGCCGAGAGCTTGACTGAATTTTACCTACTGCTTTTCCCAAACAAGACAAAAAGTGCATGCAAAAATGTACGAAAATGGATCCTACTCGTACTACTAACATGCAAAACTCTGACCCCAAACAATGAGATAAGTCTCATTCAAGCACAGGGTGGGGACCTTTATCAGTTTGATATGCAAATTTGATGACTGCAATATGACGCGTTGATTGTGATAGGAGCCTTATCAATAAAACACAAAGGATAAAAAGAGGACACATCATAAATAGCATTAATAATCCAATGAACATATGTTTCGCATCTGTCAGAAACTATACTCACACGCAGAATCCATCACACAATTAGAGAGTGATAAAAAATGTCGAAGCTTCAGGTGCATCTAAAGTCGAAACAATTTAGTTCCCATTAAAGTCATCTCATGATAACAGATAAGAAGGATGCGCCCAAAGGTATTAATTTCACGCAAATATTATTTATTTTTAAATGGATTGGCACTTACCGATAAAATAATAAAAAACGCAATGAAGCTATACTGAAATTTAGCGACACAAAATATAAAAATCTAATTATTAAATTATTATCAAATTATTCGTCCTTAACGGCACAAAGGGCAAATCGAGATGCAAAACCACAACGCACCGAATGCATCCGTTTTATCAGTTGAACCTAAACGGCCTGGGACAATATTAAGACTAATTATGTAACACGGTCAATCTCTCACTTCCGATGCTGTTCTGTCGATCTCTGTTTATTTCAAACCCATTATTGAGGTTCGATTGCAATTTTACGATAAGTAACCGTCTCACAGTAGGTAAGTGAAAAGCAAACTCCAGTTGCCTCATCGGAATCAGTCAAGTCAATATCCAACTATCCAAGAAATGAAGTTTCACACTGAAAAAAAAAGTTCGGTAAATCCGAACTAGTTAGAATCATATGGAACCGGGTTTTGTTCAGTACACACAACAGAATTGTTCGGTTTGTGCGACCGAACCATAATAAATTCTTACAGCTCGGTTTAGTGGACCGAACAGCTCGGCTGAGCAGACCGAATGATTCGGTCGTGTGTACCGAACAAAACCTGGTTCCATATGATCCAAATTAGTTTGGATTCACCGAACTTTTTTTTCAGTGCATAATTTCAAATTCAAACAATACATTTTGTCTTTCCCAGGGAATACAACACACCTCTAATTATTTTCAAGACCTGCTCGAAAGTTACAAAATAAGTCTCCATTTGTTTTGCGTTTCAATAACTGTTATTTTTTTCGAAATGTTTTAAAAAGCATACAGATGCGCTTACCCTCAAAGATAACGTTGAGCCCAAAAAGTCAAAATCCAAAATATGGACATCGGACGTTTTCGCATGTGCCGATTCAACTGAGAGAGGAAAGAAGAGGAGAAAGCGAACTGTGCGATATTTTGTTATTTATACTCAATTATTGTTCGTGTTTGTTTCGTTAAATAATTTGTCCAATTGTTCATCGAGTTCAATTATTATCCGAATCTCGGTTAAATACTAGATTTTTGCCCATTTATCGTCCTGCGCCAACTTGTTGCTGGAGCGTGAGTGCCCCGTCCCGTGGAGACGATAACTGGGAAAAATCCCACAAATTTCATTCTTGCGAATCGGACTTGGGACAAATCATGAAAACGTCCCGTTGAGATAATGCCTGAAAATATGAGTTGAAGATGTTGTTGGTGGATATCCATCACTTTATGTTCGCCTTCAATCTTGGTGCATAGGCAACAACTCTACCTAAGTGAAACGGCGATCCCCCCTCTAATGAAGTAAATGAAATGAACTTTTGGAAACCTGACATCTATATTGCTGAACAGTGTTGTGAATCTACTGGTGCTGGTAGGCATCGTTCACTCGAAATTCGCCTTCAATCCAAGTGCATAGGCAACAAACCTACAGGGGAGCGCCAACAGTTATCTATCCGAAAACCCACTCATAATCTTGTTCCGTTCGCTTTGGTTGAACAGGGCTGCTGTAAGTTTTTATTCCCTCAGCAACTTTTGAGAGAATCAAAGCTCGATAATATATTTTGTTTTGTTTTGTTTTGCTTTTGTTTTTATTTTTGCACTTTAGCAACAATATTCCGAACTATGTAACTACAATTTAGAGTGAGTCCTAGCTGGAGAAAATGGTCAAATTCTCCTTCATTCAGCAACGCTGGATAAATCTCGGGAACGCGTGCCGCGTCATGTCATCGCCCGGCTGACATAAGAGCGTAACTACACATTGAGATGAACCCGGAAAAGCATTAACTTGTATGGACAGCAGGGTTCATTGCTGATTGTAGTTACGCCCCTATATCAGGCAGGCGACGATGTATCAGTATAGGCATGGCAAAATACTCAAGCACAAAATAATCGGTTTAGTAACCTGATGCAATGTTCGGGAGGATGTATACCAGAGCCAGCTTCAGAAGCCATACACATTTTCACATTGGCCTTTTAATCTTAAGCCGAGTTTGTTTTACATATTTCATTCGGAGGAATTTTCAGGGACGCAAACTCAACAATTCGAGCAACTCAACACACGCAATTGCCCTGAGTGAGGTTTGCTTGCGTGTTTATTAGGCCTGCATCAATTTTCAAATATATTTGTTAGAATATGACGAAACAGGTCAAGGTGATCTAAATTAAAGTACTACTCACTTCATCCCTACGACGCTAAGTTTAGTACGCTAAGTTCTTAATAATTTTGCAAAATGTTGCTTTATTACCTTCAGTTCACAATAACTCTTCAGCCCAAATGCGGTCTTGCAATATAATTCAGCTCTTAAACGTCAACACATAAAATTACAAACACTAATTTTGAGACATCAAATTCAAGAAGTGGCATCTCTCGTAAATTGGCCACATTGATTTTCTGTTTCCATTTCAATACGTGAAACAATCGATTCTAAATTAGGCGATCTGTTTTGATAAACATTAATTGTTCAACATCTTTTAAATTGATGAAATTAAGGGTTGGTATCAACTTGAAAGAATCTCAGCTACTTAAAGTAGGAATTAGGGATGCGCATTTCATTTTTATTTAGGAGAGATTTCAGTGAGTTTTTTCGCAGTAAAGCAAAACAATTAAAAAAAAAAAAAAAACCATGAATGATGAGATTGCAAAGCCATAAGCATGCATTAAGTAGAACATATTTTGAAAACAAAAATTTTTAGAGTGAAAAAAAATGCATGTGAAATGGATTAAGAATCTTTGAGTAATTCCATTGGTATCCGTCTCATTTGAAGGCGCATTTAGATCTAGGTTCAATTCATTAGGATGGAAGGCATACATTTTCATCAAAAACGAACTTACAACTAATTCTGATGAGATTTCGAGATTGAAATTTAATTTATCGCAAAATTGAAATTTTTGGAGAAAAAATGGTGGAGTTAATGGTTAGACTCGGGTAATTGCATGAAATTGCGGAATGATTATTATATTTTCATTGCACTATGTGCTACTC